CCTGCAATATTTCCAAAATAAAAAATAAATAATTATATTAATCTCTACCCCACACTTTATCCCCTCACATCATTCAAATAAAAAAATATATATATATTTCTCTCTCCATCACATCACCTGATTTCTAAATTATTATACTTAATACTACCCACCTAAAAACTCGTGTAAAAAACAAATGTTGCACCTTGTTTGAGACGAATGGAGTATATGACATGAGAACCGGAGCCAAATTTATTAGATATTTGGAGACCAATACTTTAAAATAATTTATTGTTTAACATACATATTTTTAAAATTTTTGATATTGTTTAATAAAAAATTATCATATATATATATATATATTTTTCTCTAGTAAAATATTACATTAATTATCCAATTTTGTATGGTTATTATTCTTGGATTTTTCACAATACTTTCTCAATTCATCAATTTTTTTTAATTCTTTTTCAAACACTTTCATAATTCTTAGTAACTAGCAAGAAGTTTTACTCTCTCTTTCTCATCTTATTTATCTAATATTTTTATTTGCATCCATCCCATATTATTGTCCTTTCATTTTTTCATCTTAATTAAATTAATTAATTATTTTAATTTTAAATTTTAATTTAGAATTATTTATATTATATAATTATTTTTACTAATATGCTTTTAAATTATTTATTAATTACTCTCTCAATCCGTCCGCTTCTAAGAGTCACATTTACCTTTTGTATCATTGTATTTAACATTAAAAATATCTTTATATTTGTATAATTTTTTGTACAAATTTTATTCTATTAGTTTTATAAGACACTAATAAAAGTATTTTTGCAATTTTTTTCTTAATTTGTATTACGTTTTGATATAATAATTAATATTCAAATATCAACACGCAAAAGTAAATGAGACCCTTAGAGCCGGACGAAGATAACATATTTTACTTAAATTTTCGTATCTACGAAAAGTGGACATAAAAAGCAGGGCCGTCTCTGATTTTTTTTAGACCCTGAGCGAAAATAAATTATAGGCTCTACAAATATATGATTAAAATGTATTTTTAATAATATTGTTGATTGACTTTGATTAGACAAGAGGTTGAACGTGACCGTTTGGACAATATCAATTTGAGAAAAGAAGATGAAAGACGGTCTGTCTGAAAGTTCGAAAAGCAAGAAGGACTGAAAGAGGGTGAAGAAAAGGTGAGGCAGGTTTGATCGAGTTGCTGGGAGCAGCTGTAAGGTAAAGAAGTGTAGACGATTAGAAAGATATAAAAAAATATATATATATGATTAGAAATTAAACTTTAATTTTAAAATTAAATAGAATAATTACGAAGAAAAAAAATATTAGTTAAAAGTTAAAATTTAATTTTAAAATTTAATAATAATAATAGATAATATTTAAAATATAGACCCTCTATAATTATGGGCCCTGAGCAGTTGTTCATCCTGCTGCTGCTATGAGCCGCCGCTGATAAAAAGCAAGATGGAGGGAGTACTATTCTTAATACACTCAACTAACACAACCTAAAAAAGATGTTTTCACTTCTCACTACTTTTTTTAGATTTCTTTTTTTTTTTTTTTTTTTTTTTTGAAGATATATATATATATATAAATATAAATATAATATAGTGGATTAATATGAAAGTGCTACTGAAATTCAAAAAAGGAGATAGTGTAAAATTGGTAAAATGGATACATAAGTCAGCCACAAGATTCTCCTGTCCCATGCATGCAGCTGCATGGATTATTGCTTTATCATTTTATTTATTTAATTATTTATTTATTAATTAATTATTTCTATTAAATCTTTCCTTCTTTCTTTGCAACTTTATCTTTTTTCGAGTGAGTGGTGATTAGTCGTCATCATTATATTTATATTTATATTTATATTTATTTGATATTGATATGATCACCAACAAAAAAGTTGCCAATTATTTCAATCACTTAATTGACTATACTTACAAATTAGGGCATCCTAGGCTCTGCTTTCCTCTTATAATATTCATTATTTTAAAAAAATTAAAATTATTAAATCAAATATTTATTTAATTTAATATATTAATAAAGTATTTTTTTAAGTTATGATACCATTTTTACAATTTTTAAATCATAAAGTAGAAATTCAGATAATTTTATCGTGCACTCTACATTCATGTAAGCATATGTGACCAAACAATGACATCATCATTTACATTATTAAAGATATAACATTAATTTTTAATATAATAGAAAAATAAAAAATAAATATTTGATTTGATATTTTTTAAAGATAATAATAAATAATAGATATACATAGAAATTGTCCAAAATAACACACCCTAAGTTGTTTTTTTTTGTTTTTTTTTCTTTTAAATATGTTTCACTTTGAGTTAAATAATACTCCCTCCGTCCCAGATACCGTGTCTGCTACACTGTAGAGACGGTATTTTAGGAGGGGTGTAATTAGTAGATAATTAAGAATGTATTAGTGAAAATAATTATCCTATAATATAAATAATTATAAATTAAGATTAAAATAACTAATTAGTTTAATTAAAATTAAAAAAATAAATAAAATTTAAAAATTTAAAATGAGATTAAAGTGTGTAATCATTTTCCAAAAAAAGAAAGTAACATGGTATGTGGGACGGACAGAAACGGCAACATGGACATGGTATCTGGGACGGAGGGAGTAGTATTTTAATAAAATGTTCTATAAGAAAAATAATAGGTGTTTATTTTAAATTTTTTTTATGTTAAGTATTAGAAAATCTATCCTTAATACATAGCAAAATGTATATATTGTTTTTGTTGAATTGTGAACTTTTTATGAATTGGAGTATAAATATTATATATTGTGTGAATATATATATATATATCTCTTGTATGTTTTTAATGATATTCATCGAAAATTATATCATCAAGAAAACATTGAGTGAACACTTCATATTTTTTTATAAAAAAAAAAAAAAAAAATTGTCTTGACTGAATGGTAGAAAAACTAGTTTGCAATGCAAAGCAAACAAATCCTACAATGTGTGCTCTTTTGAGAGATTTGATTTAATTCTGACTATATATATCAAATTATATATTTATTTTTTTATATTATATTATATTATATTAAAAATTAATTTTACATTCGGAATATCACATCAATTCGTATCTAAAACAATTTTTCAAATCAAAACCCCAAACAAACACACCAAGTTTGCTCTTCATTGTATCAAACTGTTAGGAACATCAATTTCTAATTTGCGTAGAGCAGGGGCAATTGATATAGATATATATATATATATGGGAAAAAAATCATTTTTCGTCTCAATATAAAAATCTTATTAATTTTGGTCTCAATATAACCAAAACTCATCATTTTTGTCCCAAAATAACCAAAACTCATTATTTTTTATCCAAATATAAATTTTTTTATCAATTTTAGTCACAATATAACCAAAACTCATCATTTTTTGTCCCAATATAATCAAACCTTATCTTTTTTGGTCTCATCGTCAACAAACCCACGGAAAATGCTGACGTGAACTTGTTCTTTTCACGTCAGCACTTTCCGTCGGTTTATTGGCGGTGAAACCAAAAAAGATAAGATTTGATTATATAGGGACAAAAAATGATGAGTTTTGGTTATACTGAGGCTAAATTGATAAGAATTTTATATTTGAACCAAAAATAATAAATTTTAGTTATATTAAAATAAAAAATATGAATTTTAGTTATATTGAGATCAAAAAATAATTTTTTCCCTCTATGTAATATATACATATATAAACGGTGGTTGCTCCATTAATTTTTTTATGAATGGAACAAGTCAGCTTTATCTTTTCTATTATTATTATTATTATTACCATGTGGGCATAAGCTCATTTCATGCATGCATCACTCAAATTACAAAAGCCACATAATAGATCTTCAATGCTCCTAACTATGTACTAATAATAATAATAATCCTTCCGACCGGATATCATTGTCCACGTTGTCGTTTCAGTTCGTCCCACGTACCATGTCACTTTCCTTTTCTAGAAAATAATTATACACTTTAATCTCATTTTAATCTTTTTAATTTTTTTAAAAATTTTAATTAAACTAATTAGTTATCTTAATATTAATTTATAATTATTTATATTATAAAATAATTATTTTCACTAATATATTCTTAATTATCTACTAATTACACACCACGGAGGTAGTAATAATTAAAATTATTGGCAATATATCCTTCCATCTAATCATTAATTATCATTTTGGACCCCTTGTTTTCTTCTATCACTTGTGTTTTAACCTTCTTTAACCTACTACTACTACTAAAACTAGTATAATAACCAGTCGGGTATGCAGGGTATTAGGTTCGGTCAGATTTTATCTAATACACACTTTTGAGTAGCGGCTACGGGTTTCCTAATCATAACTAAAAATAAAAATAAAAATAAAAATAAAAATAAAATCCTACTACTACTACTACTACTACTAATAATAATAATAATAATAATAATAATATATGCTGCTTCTTTATTCAATAATAAAATAATCAATTTCAATAATCTCTATCAGATAAAGCTATAAGTCTCATGGCTAGATATGCATGTGCCTTACTGACTCACTCACACTGTCAAAAATCATAATATATATATATATATATATTTGTGCGTGGTCCTGATTCCTGAACTTATCCAATACTATAATTCATAGACAGAGATAGAGAGATACCCACACATCTACTAGTCGTAGGTTTCTCTGTTCGAATTATTTCACTAATTATTATCCCAAAAAATCACTAAACTCAGGATGGGCTTCCCAATTCCAAATGGGCAATGGACCTTCTAAATAAATCTCAAAAAAATATATATATATATACATATATATATATATATATCTACCATTTTCTTCACAGTGTTGTTTGGACTAATCAATCAAACTCAAGACAAGATGTTTACAATTGCATCAAAAATTAGTGATTGAGAGAATCAAAAAAGATCAAACAAAATCCAACCAAAACAATACTACATGATCACAGCAAAGGCCAAGAACTATACAAATTCATCTCACTTAAATGCATTGTGTATATATGTATGTATCATAATAGGGAACAGAGAATTTTTGGACAAAAATGAGGCATACCCACAAAATATAATATTGTTTGAGGACCTCCTTCACATGTTCTATAGTCTACTCTACATGAATGTGTATATGTATATATTCATTCAATTGTTAAAATCTTTATATATGCAGCAGCAGCAGGAGGAGGGACATTTTCTATACATCTTATTTACCAATCAAAACCTTAATTTCCATCAAAAATAATGAGAAAGATCATGATGATGCATATATAAGAAGATCGAACGAAAGAGAGTGAGTCAAGGATTATTACTGGTGGTAGTTTGGGGGCAGCAGGAGAGCGGCCGAGTGGGTGTTGCTGATCATGGCTGTTCTTGTGAGTTGCTCCTGGTCAGTCAGGGTGTGCCGGAAGTGGCAGCGGTGGCCGTAAGGGCAGGGGATCCCGTTCAGGACCATGCGGCACACCTCTGTCTTGTAGCGTGGGTGGCGCAGCACGGGGCGGAGCTCCTCGATGCCATGGGCGAACTGGCAGTTGTTGCCGTAGGGGCAAGTGCCAGTGTGCTGCCATTTGTTGCACAGCTCTGTTTTGAACATGCCCTGATTGTACACTTCTAGTTCCACTGCTTGCTCTTTCTTCACCCCTTTAACATACACCCTTTGCTGCACCAATCCATTTACAACATCAAACATATATATATATATATATATGTAGACACGACGGCTGTTATGTAATATATATCAACTGTATATGAGGTATAAATCGATAACACTCTGGTAATGGATCCAATGTCGATTGTTTTCTTCTATTTATTCTTATTCTAAGGCAAGATTCAACAATCCTTTAATCAAAATAAAATAGCTGTTCTGAATAGAAATACGGGATTCAACAACCCTTTAATCAAAATCAAAGATTTGTAAATGTGTCATTCAAGATTCATAATAAGCTTATATAAATGAAAAGATTTCATATAACTAAGAATCAAAGATTGTAAGGAATACTAAATTGGAAAATTTAGAAGAATGCATCTCACCAATTTAAAGAAAGACTAGTAATGAGGGTAGTAAATGTTCATTTTCATCGTGTTGTTCTGTTATTTCCCTTCTACAATCCATAGAATCGATGATCAAGAAAACCCCTCAAAAGATAAATATGAATTACTGAAATTGAGAAATTAACCAAGTATCAAAGATTTTATTGGAACACTAAAATTGGAAAATTAGAAGAATTCATCTCACCATTTAAAAAGAAAAAAAAAAAAAAAAAAAAAAAAAAGAGTCCATGATCAAGAAAATGCCTCAAAAGATAGATATAAATTCCTATTTGTCAGATAGCACCAAGAAAAGTGACAAAAAGAACACAATATTCCACATACTGCAAAACAAAGAAACAGCAAGATAATGTAATCCAGTGTCTAATTTATGTAGTAGAGCATATGAAGAAAAGCAAAGGTTTGTTGTTTACCGTTCCATTGTCGATTTTGCTCTGGTTTGCAGGTTGTTTTACACAATTACGAGCAGCTCGACTTGCCTTCAGGTACCCACTGGAACGAACTGAAATACTCTTGGGCAAATGGAACCTCTCCACCCCACCACGCTGCAGGCAATTCGGGCTCGAATCCACAACACTAGCCGCCGGCCTATTTCTTGCGACTTCAATCTCACCCTCTTCCGAACCACCCACAGTTATCTTTCGCATTCCATTCAAAACAGAGTCCAAATCCGGACTGAGATCCGCACTGTGAAACGAAGTCGGATTGAGCATCAAATTCAAGCGATTGTTCAGGTCAAGATTGGTCACTTTGAGATTCACGTTCTCCTGGCGGAGGGCCTGCGCCTGCTGCGCGACGTCCTGAAGATGACAGAGCGCTCCTCGATGACGATACATAAAGTCCTGACGAAGCCTCTGCTGCTGGATTTGAGGGAATCCCGACGGTAAGGCTTCGCCATTTAGCCAAGGAAGCGATAGTGTGGAAATATCGTTGGAGTAATCTGGAACAGGAGATTGCTTGGGCATCAAGCTGTGATAAAGTGACGCCGGAAAATCATAGTCGCTCGACGATACATTGACAGTGGGATATGAATGGCTCGAGATTGAGTTTTCTCTCTGCATCTTCTCTACGAGGAGTGATATTCACTGCAAAATGCAAATCATTCTAAGAAAGACCTAAATTTCATCAAATTCCCCCAAAATTGGGGCGTTCGTACCCAAAAATTGACAAAATTGCGATAATACGCACAAGAACAATACATTCTTTAACAAAACCAACATAATTTCTCTTCCCCCTTTGACAGTCAATAATCATCGCTATAAACCCTAATTAACGTCACAGGCACTGAACAAGCAAAGATTGAAATTCCATTTAATCAATAATGCATCAAACCAGAGAAAACAAACACTGTCCGCAATCGAGAAGAAAAAATTGGGCGAATTGATGGAGGGGAAGGCGATTCACATAACGCAACTACCTGATTAACAACAATTATACATACGGAAGCTCCAAATGGATCTTGAAAATTCCTTCTGCTCTGACATCCGATAGAGGAATTGTTTTAGAGAGAGAAGCGCGCTATTCAGAAGACTCAAGGTAGAAGAAAAAATGAAGAGTTATTATATATATATATATATATATAGTGCCGATAGGTAATTTGACTCTCCGTACCCTTGCATGGCGATGGCTTTTGCCTTGCTCTCGAGGGTATTTTCGTCCTTTCATATAGGCGGTTGGAGACAATACGCGCGGAAAAATAACACCCAAGGAAGTTACAAATTTACTCAATACTTATAAATAAATGAATATTTAATATTACATTATGCATGGATATATAATTTAATTTATTGAAAAGAAAAGTTACCAAAATCGGTTAAATAAAAACGACAAGATAGCAAATATATGTTGATGCTACTTATGAAGTGAGGTTTGTTAGATTGAAGAATAAATAAATAATACTATTATTAGTTTGATCAAAATATAAATCTATAATATTGCTTCATTTGGAAGTTTGCAATGAATAGCTGCTGCTGGTGGCTTTCCAAACTTTTTATATTATTGTCATTAAAGAAAATAATTAATAATAATAATAATAATAATAATAATAATCATCGAATTGTACTTTCCCCCGGATAATAACGACATATACTAAAATGTCGTATCCGTGCCGAAAAGTCCTGTGACATGATGATTCAGATTAGACTCAGCATTTTTTAATCACAAGACACTTATTTTTTATAATAATAATAATCCCTCCGTCCTCGTGGAAGAGTGACGTTTATTTTTTGTACGTAAAATTTTGAATATTAGTATTATATTAGATTGCAGTAAAAATTAAAAAAAAAAAAAAAAAAAAAAAAGACAAAAATACCCCTATTAGTATGGTGTAATATAAAAGTAATGGCATTTGTGTAATATATTGTAAGTTGAAATGGTATTTATTATGTTAAGTAGATAGTACAATTACTAAATTAAAAAATGGTAACCTTGGGACGGACAAAAATGAAAAATTGTAGCATTTCAATGGGAGAGAGAGTAACAAAATTACCATTACTGAGCTGATTTTAATAAATCGTATTAATGTATACATTAATCAAATATACATCTTCAGCATTATAATCTATCAACATAATGTATATATTAATATGATCATTTTATCAGCACCATGTTAATATAATATATAACATTATATTATACAATTTTATTCTCCCTCCATCCCATAAATATAGTGGATTGGACACGAAATTTAAAGAATACTGATATTAAATTGATAGTTGGTAAAAAATATGGATAAAAAATTTTTTTGTCGTATTAGTGTAAAAAATAGTGGCAATTGTGTAATAAAAATGAAAAAGTAGAAGTAGTTTTTATGATAATATGGTTATTTATAGAAATAAGACTATTGTTTTGAAATGAACAAAAAAATGGTAAACAAAGATTATTGTATTGTAATGGAGGGAGTATAACACAATATATCATAACTTTAATGCAATAAATGAATTACAGCATAACGCAATATATAAGTCAGACATCACATACTCATAACATAACAACATATAGTTTGTGATGAAATACTTCAAATTAGTGTATTGACTTAGCGAAATAAGCACCATGTTGAGTCGACCCTAACAGCTACTTAATACTTACTCCGTTCGCCTCTAAGGATCACATTTACATTTTGCGTCATTGTACTTAATATTAAAAATATTCTCATATTTGTATAAATTTTTGTACAAATGATCTTCTATTAGTATTACAAGACACTAATAAAAATATTTTTGAAATTTTTTTTAATTAGTACGTTTTAATATAATAATTAATATTTAAAAACCAACACACAAAAATTAAATGAGATCCTTAGAGCTGACGAAAATAATACTCCATTCGTCCCAATACAATAGTCTTATTTACCATTTTTGTCCGTCCCAATACAATAGTCTTCTTTACCATTTTTGTCTGTCTCAAAACAATAGTCTCATTTTAATATCACCGTAAAACTATCCTACTTTTTCACTATTATTACACAATTATCACTACTTTTACACTAATATACTCACAAGGGATAAAAAAATCATTTATCATTACTTTTTACCAACTACCGAAACAAGTATACTATACAAGCTCATGAATAAAATACAAATTGATTGCATACTACCAATTATAAAAACTATAATTAGCTATATATCCTAAATCAAGAATATATCATTTTGAATAAAAGATTGCATGGTTTGATGCCCAAAATGAGAATTCCAAATTACTTGTGCTACTTTATATTTTTTCTATCATTCAATTTTTTTTTTTTTTATCATTTAAATTTATTTCTATTTTTTTTTAAGTAAAAAGAATGCCTGTTTTTTCTATTTTTTTTTTACCTAAAGAAGTACAGGTGTGTTTGTTTGAAGGATTTTGGAGGATTTTCACTATTCATCCAATTTTTTTCCCCCAAAAACATCAAATCAAACACCTATTTTTCATTTTTTATATTATACTAAAAATCAATTTTACATTCAAAACATCACATCAAACTCTATTTATATCACATCATACAACTATTCAAATTCAAAATTTTTACTATTCAAATTCCAATCCAAAATCCAAACCCCCAAACAAACACACCCTTAGATTATTTTTATTTTTTATTTTTATTTTTTTTGAAACTCATGCTACCTATCAAATGAGCACACATGTAAATATTCCGTACCCATACTTCAAAATTTCCTTGCCAATTAAAATTGAAGGGAATCCTGTTACTTTCTATTAATTCGTGTTGTAAGATTTTTACAAAATCTTACTATTCATCCAATTTTTTCCCCCCAAAAACATCAAATCAAATACCTATTTTTTATTTTTTATATTATACTAAAAATAAATTTTACATTCAAAACATCACATCAACACCTATTTATATCACATAATACAACTATTCAAATTCAAAATTTTTACTATTCAAATCCCAACTCAAAATCCAAACCCCCAAACAAACACACCCTTATAGTAAACTCATATTTAGTACTAGCTGTCTTTGATTTAATCTTCCAATTATAATATTTTTAATAAAACTAAATAGTTAATGTAGCAAAACAAAATAATATGAAAATGCAATTGACAATACCAATAAACATAGTCATTTGTTCATTCTTTTCTAATAAGATTAACACTGAACAAGCAATGTGTAGCAAGAAACTAAAGCTGAACTCCCTATACATATATATATATATATGCAAGATTACCTGAACTCAAACAGGCTGAGGACATCGATGGCCTGGATTATAACACGTCGCCTGAATCGATCGCTAGAGCTTAAAAGAAAATCGAGGCATAAGTTAAAATCATATAAAAACTCGAGGCAATCATCCCGGCATCTTTCATGAGCCTACTTCAAGAAACAGATGCAGAAAGTGGTCTAATGGTATTCGATTCCAGATTCCAAAATGCCTACTAACTACCATAGTCGAACACCATGAAAAACAAGTAGCAACTATTTTGACACTGGCACACAAAAGAAGTCGAATTTCCCGATCAAAATAATTAGGAGATGAAGAACACCAATCACCGTCGTCAAAAAAGAGTAGTAGAGAAAGGGCAAAAAGATAGAGCTAACATATTTCCTATCTGCACCATATGATCAAAAACACTAAAATCTAATGTGTTTTCTTGCATTTTCTCGATACTTACACGCCCTCGAGCTCTGTTTGCCTCAAACCCGACCTATTTCTGTTGTTTGCTTCCGGTGGGCTGACGCTCTGTGACTCCGCCAACATGTGGAAATAAGCATGGGGCGCCCAACCTACGTATCCGAATACAGATCATTATTTTCGAGTGCCATGGATTGGTAAATCAAGCCACAAGAATTGAAAGGTTTGGTTTCACTCAATCCTATACTTTTTCAATTATGACTCTACAAAAAAATTAAAATTTAGCTACAAGATATTTTATAGCAAAGGATAATGAAATCATAGAAAAAATGATTTTCGTCGCCTACAGTAAAAGTCTTTGGCGACAAATATGACTTCCGTAACGAAAAATAAATTTTTTACGATAAAAGCTAAGAAAAGAGATTTCATAGCTATAGCTCTTTTGCTATAAAAATAAAATTTATAATAAAAGAGTTTCATTAACAAAATATGCATTATTTTTTAGCCAAATAATTTTACCTATGAAAGATAATTTTGTAGTTAAAACCATTTTGCTATGAAAATAAAATTTTCTAGCAAAAAAATTTTAATTACGAAAATTAATTTTTGTTGCTCAATGTATTGTAGCTAATTACATAAATTTTTTTGTAGTGTGAACACATCCCAAGCCTCTTAGTAAATATGAGGAAGATTAATAAATCCTCAAAACACATAAGTAAACTTGCAATCGATGATCGATCCATCTAGAGATTTTTTATGATAAAAGCCGTGTGAATCAGCTAATGTTAGTAAGCAACTTTCGGGCTCTTACATCTAAAATTAAATTAGCACATCGATGCTCAATCATCCTTATTCCAATAACTAGAAGCAAAATAATCCATTTTTTTTGTCAAAGAAGCAACTAACAAAGCTCAGAGAAGTGCCTTACCGTCTGCGTCGTATGGTGGTGGGAAAAATTGCAAGTAACAGAACGATGCAATGGTTATCCCTGCAGATGGAGCAATCCAGAATGTATCGAGTTTTTATATATATATATATACTGCATCATAAATCGGGAAATAATGAAGTAGAAATAGTTTGACTTTCGTATTCTATACCTAATAAACCTCCAGCAAAGACATCTTGCCAATGGTGCCAATAATCATCAACTCTTGAAACTCCAACTAATGCAGCCATTAGTAACGGCAAGAACGTAATGCAGAGCTTCGCTACGTGGCCTCTACGATCGAATACTCTAATTTTACCAGACAAGTACAAGGAAAGAAATCCGAGACCGGCAAAGGACCCTACGAACGAAATAGTGTTAATCTCAATAAACTACTTTTCGTCAATATACCAAGATTGAAAATAAACCAGAACTCGTGTCAATTCGTATCACCAGCAATCTTCTTAAAGGGTGTGTCGTTTGGAAGATTTTCCCAAAATTCTATGATTCATAAAAAAAATTTCCCAAAAAACATCAAATCACACCTATTTTTTATTTTTTATATTATACTAAAAATTAATTTTATATTCAAAACATCACATCATCAATTATTTATATCACATCATACAACTATTACAATTCAAAATCTTTACCATTCATTCCCAACTCAAAATTCAAACCCCAAACCAACACACCCTTAAGTGAAAAAATCTGAGTCGGTATGGAAACATTTCTAAGCTATGCATTCGACATTGGCTAGAAGACAACAAAACAAACAATTTCAAATTTCATTCGATACAGGTTGCACTCACATGAAGTGTGTCCACTGGGAAAACTTTTATGGCCTTCTTTGACGACGCTCTTTAATCCCGTGCACTGGACATTCCCTGTTACATTATGGAACGCCTATCCAAGACAAAATGTGAATAGTGTTAGTACTTTTTTATCGGGGCTTCGAACTAATGCAGTACCAATAGGACTCACCCCTATGCCATCAGGGAAGCAACGCCAGAAGAAGTCTGGTCGAGGTCTTCCAACAGCATCTTTAATTGCATCGGTGAGAACACCCGTAATCAGAACAGAAAACAGCAAACCTGACATTCAATATCAATGTAATTCAAGCTACCATTTACGAAACAAAAGGAAAAGGATCGGATTAATGCAAAACGAGAAGCGTACCCAAGATTGCTTGATGCAAGTCATATACATCGCTTCTTATAAAGTAAAAGACGACGATGATAAATAAGGGCAAGATTACTGCAATTAGCTGCAACAGGTTATCGAAAATATGTTATCAAGCTATCAAAGGAAGGAGTAAAATGTGTCGAATGATTTCCAGGTGAAGGAATGTACCGGAACAGCCCAAAAGGGGACTGTGTTATCTTTCAAAGGATACTTGAGGTCTGTCATCATATCTTCGCCAACAAACCGATGAAAAGGTTCGATCACATTTAGAATGATCTCAATCACCACAAGCAGCATCAGAATAAGCCAATCGTGCATGTGAAACCTGGCCACTCGAGCTCCATGAGATCTTATTGTGTGGACGCCTAGCTGTATTTCTGGCATTTTGATCAATCGATCTCCTGCAGCATAATTGACGTGGCATACGCTATGAATTCACAATCGAATGAATTTGTTCTCGCTATTGAAGAACCAACAAACAATGGCGTCCACAGTTAATCGAGAGTTTTCGCACAAATCGTAGAGGTAAATCGAAAGAACCTTCACTTCTACGTGCTAAAAACACTACCGAATGAATTCGTTCTCGCTATCGAAGCTTAAGAAGCCAGCAAACAATGGCGTCCACAGTTAATTCAAATGAGTTTTCACACAAATCGTAGAGGTAAATCGAGAAAACAATCACTTCTAGGTGCCAAAAACACTACCGAATGAATTCGTTCTCGCTATCGAAGCTTAAGTAACCAACAAACAATGGCGTCCACAGTTAATTTGAGTTCTCGCACAAATCGTAGAGGTGAATCGAGAAAACCACAACTTCTAGGTGCCAAAAACACAATTCAACACCTCATAACAGAGAATCGAACAAAATTTCTCCAGCAGGTTACAGAAATTTCTCCAAAAAAATAAATAAAACGACGATAATACGAGCTCACCTGATGCGAGAGGAACCGAGAAGACCGAGAGCGCGCGTGGGAAGAGAGAAACGAAACTGAAACTGAAACTGAAATGGCAGAATAAATTCAAACAGAAAAGGCAACAAAAACACAAAGCAGAAACTGCGCACGCGGAGCAGCTTACAAACCAAATCCACTGACTACACTTACCTTTACTGAGACGGATAAACAACTAACGAAAATTCCAGAAGCAGAATCCACTTCCCGATTCTCGAGTGAGGTGGGGCTGAGGCTCCTTCGCCTTAGTCAAAAGAAAAAGCGATTGGAGTCCATAACATATCCACACTGACCTGACCCTCGGATGGATAAAGAATCTTCAATCTTTGAATTCAAATCGTCGGATTACTCAAAGTGGAGATTTTTTGGGATTTACCCTTTTCAGATTTTGTTTATGTAACTGCAAACCTATTCAAATTCCATTTATTTATTTATTTATTTATTCTTGTAATGAACACAATACAACAGAATCAACCTGGGATTTGTACAGCACAACGTGTGAATTTGATCAAGGAAGAAAGATTCAGACAAAATAAAAAGTATATTAACAGACTGACAGACAGTTCTTGGCAAGAAATGAGGATGATGATCATGTCTGTTGATCTGTCTGTCTACCTTCTTCCTGATTCCATGGCGCCCAAAGTAGAGTCGACAGTTTCAGTGACAAGGTTGGAGGTTGGTGAAGACCATTCATGGCTGGCACTTGCAGTTCTGATACTGCTGCCAGCTCCTGAAGTGGCACGAGATTCCTCCACTGCTCGGACATACGCATAGGGATGAAATCCTGCCATCAAAATCCAAAGAGACACAACAAATTAGTTAAGGTAAGAGTTTTGGTACGAATCGAATAGTTCGCGAACCAAATTCGACGGGCTCGTTAACAGATCGATTCGATTCGTCTATAGAGATAGAGTTTATAGAGATAAACGAGCCAAATTTGAACTCAAACATCATGATACAGGAACAATTCGACAATTCGATTGATCTCGTTAGTGATGTATATTTTTTATATAAAAATTGTATTCCCTCCGTCCTAATTCAAAATATCACTTTTATTATTTTCGTCCGTCTTACTTCAAAATATCACTTTCCGAAAAAGTAATTATATATTAATATCAAATACCCTTTTAACTTTTACTTAAATTACAAATATACCATTGCACGTGCAATTATTTTATATAAAATCAAAGACTTGAAGCCAAGTATTTGTTAATAACTATTAAATATTTTATCATAATGAATTGTTAAAAAATTTTGATCTATTTAATTTATATATCAAAAAATATATAATACGTATGAAATGCAAGTCGAACTCGGACTCAAAGCTTTGGGAGCCGAGTTTGAGTTTGAACTAAGGCTAACAAGCCAAGCTCGAGCCAATATTTTAGCTCAAATCCTAAACGAACCGAGTCAAGTCTGTACCATTAACTTGTTCATATCGAGCTCGAACAACAAATAATCTCGACTCATTTAACCGCCATTCATCAAAAAAAAAACAAGCACACGTACCTTCTGTGTGGTATGGAGGTGGGAAGAACTGCAGGTAGCAGAAAGTAGCCACAACAAGACCTGAAGAAGATGCAAGCAAAAAGAATCACAAGTTCAGTTCATCCATGTCATTATTTTCTTCATTGTATAGCCTAAATTGAAGGGCTCTCACCGAGGATGCCGCCGGCGAACACGTCTTGCCAGTGATGCCAGTAGTCATCGACGCGGGAAATGCCGACCAGGCATGCTGCGAGAAGGGGAAGAAAAACGATGCACAGTTTCGCGACGTGCCCCCTTCTGTCGAAGCATTTGATCTTCCCCGACAAGTATAGTGATAGGAATGCAAGCCCCGCAAACGACCCTGCCGAAACACCACAATCAAACAAACAATCAGCCATTCGATACTGTTAAAAGACTATACAATACTCCAATCGTCTCAATTTAAAGTACAATTTCTACCATTTTTGTCTGTTTTACTTGTATCATTTTTTATTTTAGAAAAAAGAATTGTACACTAATACTAAAATACCCTTAATTTTTACTTAAATTACAAATATACCATTACATATACAATTACAACAGATAGATAGTGATGGGATGGAGGCATATAAAATCAAAGGACTTTACTTGTGAGGTTTTGGTTTTGAGTTTTGATTTTGAATAGTAAAATTTTGAATTGAAATAGTTGCTTGATGTGATATAAATATGTGTTGATGTGATGTTTTGAATGTAAAATTAAATTTTAGTGTAATAAAATAAATAAGAATTGAGTGTTTGATTTGATGTTTTTGGAGGGAAAAGAAAGTTGGAATAGTAAAATCAGACCTAAAATCTTACAAGTAAACAAACCCTAACTAATTAATAAAATACTATTATTTCTTAATCTACTACAAAATCCCAAAGAGCCCTTTTGATTTGAAAAAGAGGGAATATGTAATTAATCATACATTTTCTTTTTACTAGTTCAAACTTTTAGATGAAATGATCATTTAACGGTACATACAGTAATAACGTTGCACGAGTTTGTACGTAAGAAATCTTACAAGAAGTATGGCCGCTAGGAAAACTCTTGTGCCCTTCTTTTATATCGCTATCGTTGCCATGACAGACGACATTCCCCCATCCATCGTACTCCTAATAACACACGGTAAAACATCGATAGTACGTCCGTGTAGACAACCAAAGAAGCAGAATTTGCATAGATACTAGAATCGGAAGAAATTTAAAGTGATAGTTATGTGGCATACATCTATTCCATCGGGAAAGCAACGCCAGAAAAAATTAGGCCGGGGTCGGCCTACAGCATCTTTTATAGCATCCGTGAGAACTCCAGTTATCAGCACCGCGAACAAAAGCCCTGCAGCCTCAAATTTGTCATTTTCGATAACTTTCGCTTACGAAAAAGGGGAAACTAAAACTACGAAGAACGGCAGAAATTATGTTACCTAGAATGCTGTTATGCAGGTCATACACATCCTTCCTTCGAAGATAGTACGCCACGAAAATAGCAATAGGCAACAGAACTGCATATAGCTAATCACCATAAAAAGGCATATTACTCGAAATACAACTCAAAAAATATTAGATTCGTATGTATACACATATGTGTGTGTATGTATATATCTTCATATGAGCTGAGAGATACTCACCGGCACGGTCCAAATAGGCACGGTGTTGTCTTTCATTGGATATCGAAGATCGTCCATCATGCCTCTCCCAACGAATCGGTAGAATGGGTGGATCACATTGAGGAGGATCTCAATGACTACAAGCAGTAGCAGTATCAGCCAATCATGCTTGTGGATCTTCGCGAGTCGTCTCCCATGGGACTTAATCGTATGCCGGCATTCAAGCTCGGCACCCGGTCCACCCTGTTCAATACAATAGCATAACATCTTGCAGTGTTATCTAACTGATGTGGTTTAAGAATTTCAAGTTTTTCATCTATGGATCATCAAGTTTGAATGCTCCTTCAAACCAATCATGGAAACAAATTAACAATACAATCCAAACAACAACTATAAACCTAATTTCAGCATTCAAACCCTAACTATTAATGAGCATTCTCAATGCAGGAACAATAAATAATTTTCAAGAAATTCCAAAGCCCTAAGAAAGGGGGAAAATAGCCAAATCCACAAACCTGAAACATTTTCTGCAAAGTCGAAGCAGGACAAAAAGAGATCATATTCCTCCAGCTCATTTGCCGATGAAATTGGAAAGTTACAGCTAATTTGGGGCACGAATCTCAAAAGAGGATATAGCAAAGTGCCATTGATAGAACCTGAACCATATTTAACGAGGAAAATGTAAATACACAGAGAGAAAAGATTCTGAACCCTAACTGCAAGGAACATACAACGGTTGTATCCTCAACACTGCCTCCAGCAAGGCAACAACATCAAATCGACAATTTTTCAATCCAATGATGGTAATGAAGAGCATTGGGCATACCTTGTCGATATTTTCCTCAAATGGCTATCAATGGCGTTCAGAAAATGGGACCCCGAATCCACCGAGTCCAGAATTGTTGGCCTGCAATTTATGAGAAGATTTAATTGGCAATAAAATCGTAGAAATGGATGGAGATAGATCATCATGGCGGGAGTAAATGCGCAGCAACGAGAAGATAGGTGAAAGCAATGGATTTTCGGCCGACAGTTGAGCAGAGGCCTGTATTTTCGTCGGTTATATGCGTTGGTGATGGAGCGAAATGGTCGAATGGATCTTTTTGATCTTATATATATCTTGTTTCTCAACCGTTAGATTTAAAATGTGCAGTTGCGATTGAGCTGCTGTGGCTTTTGTTCTATCTGCATTTATTTCGAATTGGAATCTTTGACTATTGAGTTTTGAAGTTCAATGTTCGGCAAATGCTATTTTTGTTTGACACTAATTATCTCATTTAATTTTTTCATATGTTAATTTTTTAATATTAATTATTATATTAAAATATAATATAAATTAAAAAAAATATAAAAATATTAATTCTAATAGTAATAAAAAAAAATTATATAAAAAATTATACAAATATAAAAATATTTTTAATGTTAAGATAAATATATTCTCCCTCACTCTTTATCTATGTTTTTTTCAATAATTTATAATCAATTTATTTATAATAAATAATTTTATTTATATATAATATTGTTTTTATTTTAATTAATAATAATAATTAATTTATCATTATTGTTTTACTTATCACATTATTTTTTATCAATTATTTAATAAATTCTTATAATACTTTTATTTTATTTTTACTTATTCTACTTTACTACTCCCTCCCCTTCTTTTTATATTATTTGTTCAATATTTAGTCCGTTCATCCCATTTGTTATTAAGAATAATTATATATTTTAATTAAATTAATTAACATCTAAATTTTAATATATAATTATTTATATTATATAATAATTATTTTTATTAATATATTTTAAAATTATTTATTAATAATATTCTACTTAAATTTCAATATTTACATGAAATTACACATAAAAAGTTTGTGACAGATGGAGTATTAAAGTAGTACTTCCCTCTGTCCCGCATACCATGTCCACATTGTTGTTTCTATCCGTCTCACATTCCACGTCACTTTCGTTTTTTGGAAAATAATTACACTTTAATCTCATTTTAAATTTTTTAATTTATTTTTTTAAAATTTTAATTAAACTAATTAGTTATCTTAATTTTAATTTATAATTATTTATATTATAAGATAATTATTTTAACTAATATATTCTTAATTATTGACTAATTACATCCCTCCTAAAACACTGTGTCTACAGTGTAGCAGACACGGTATGTGGGACGGACGGAATATTATTTTTCTTGATTCCATATCCAATCAAACTTATATATTACTCATTCCGTTTCAATACAATAGTCTTGTTTATCATTTTTGTCCGTCCAAAAACAATAGTCTCATTTTCATAAATACTCATATCACCATAAAATTATCTCTATTTTTTCATTATTATTACACAAAATGTCACTATTTTTTACACTAATACACTCATAATGGCAAAGAAGCCTACTACTCGTATTTTTTACCAACTATCAATATAATATTAATCTTTATTAAATTTTATGTCCAACTCAAATAAGACCAACAGAGATGGTATAATTTTATGTAGCTGAAGAATATTGTATACCATTATGTATTTGGCTCTATTTATACGATAAATTTGGAAATTTTGTATACTTTAATTTTTTTTAAAATATTATATTAAATATATTTTTTAAAATATTTTATCAATTACTAATTTTTTATTATTTTAAAATTTTTAAAATATTAAAATCTCCAAAAATCTTTAGCTATAAAGAGCTGCTTGAGTTTCAAAATTAATGAACATTATACTGTAACTTAAATATGTATTCAGATTTTCTTTATAGATTTACTATAAATGTGTATATTTTTTTACTTCTTGTTGTTAATAATAAATAAATAAATAAAAATGATGTTTTGTTGTAAAATAAATAAATAAATTTTTTTTTTTTATAATAGGCTAAAAAATAAAATTAAATATTGATTTATATAAACGAGGGGATATTATAAAATTGATAAAATATGTTGTGACTGTTAGCTAAATTTGACTTATAAAATAAAATAATAGTAAATACACTTTTAGTCTTATATTTTTATTCTTTTAAGTAAATAGTACTCCCTCCGTCTCAAACACCATGCAATATTTGTATTTAGCACGAGAATTTAGGTGAGGAGTATTAAGTATGCTAATTTGAGATAATTTGGATATTTAGTTACGTGATTGGAAAGAGAAATGATTATTTGTTTTTTTTTTTTATTTGAGTGATGTGATGGGATAAAGTGAAGTGTATATTAATATATATAAAAATATTATTAATTATTTCTAAATTTGGAAATGTTGCATTGAGTTTGGGACAAACAAAAAAAGAAATGTTGCAGGGTGTTTGGGTCGGAGGGAGTATTATATCTGTTTCGACTAAATTGTCATATTTCTTCGGTCGACTTCTAAGTGTTATATTTATCTTTTGTATCATTGTACTTAATATTAAAAATATATAATTTTTTTTACAAATATCTTTTTATTAGTATTACAAGACAATAATAGAAGTATTTTTGTACTTTTTTTCTTAATTTATACTATATTTTGATATAATAATTAATATTCAAATATTAACACGCAAAAAGTAAATGAGACATTTAGAGCCGGACGAAAATAATAGTATATATTATCATAGATATAAAAATTTAAATAGAGTATAATTAATAAATAATTAAAAATTGTATAAATAAATAATTATTATATAATAAAAATAATTATAAATTAAAATAACTAAATAATTTAATTTAAATTAAAAGATTTATAAAATTTAAAATTTAAAATATAATGAAATTGTATAATAATATTCCAAAAATAATACTCCATCCGTCTCACTTCTCATGTTCACCTTTCCATTTTCATCCGTCCCACTTATTTTATAATTTTCTTTTTTTGGAAAACAATTATACATTTTAATCTTATTTTAAAAAAATTAATTTATAATTTTTTTAATTTTAATTATACTAATCAATTATTTTTATTATATGATAATTATTTTTACTAATATATTTTTAATTATTTATTAATTATACCCTCCTAAATTCTCGTATTTACAGTAAAAATATCCAGGATTGAGGGAATAATAAATTATACAGGAAGAATTAAAATTAAAAATAAATAAATAAACATTTAAATGAAACACATGGGTATCTAATGCGACGGTGGAGGGTGGACATCCATCAGGCTTTGGGGTCCAGGAGCTTTTCAACAAGAGGTAACATTTGGTTGCTGCTCAAAACATAATGGGCCTTGGCATTGGCCCACTAAATGGCCCAAATCCAATTAGTCTTGGGTACTAATATACTCCAATATTTTTGTTTCAAAATTATTTTCACAATCTTTATTATTTTGAAAAAGTATAATAGTATCAAATTTATTTTAGTTTATTTTATTTAAAATATTATACTCATTCGTCCCATAACAATTGCCATATCTTTTATTTTTATATATTCATAACAATTGACATTTTTTATTTTGAGTAAATTTACTAAATTAAAATATATTTAAAAATAATAAATCAATTTAATTAACGACATAATATATAACATCATAAATTATGTATGATTCACTCAAAAAAATTTATTTTTATTTTTCTCAAAAGAATAAATATCTTCGACTAAAATTCCAAATTGTTTACATCTTTTATAAAAATTAGTTTATATTAATTATAAATAAAAAAAAATTATTTTTAATTTACTTATATTATAAAAAAAATTATTTTATATAAAATAATATTCATATTACATATATTTTTTATTATGATATAAATTTAAAATATCTAAATATATATTCTAAATTTTTTAATCATATATTAAATTTATTTTAAAACTATTAATATTATAATTACATAAAAAAAAATAAAGTATTATAATTCATTATTATTAACTAATTAACATAAATTTTTAAAATATTGTATCACTAATAAAATAATTCTAAAATATATAGATATTTTTATAGGTGTATGTTTGTTTGGAGTCTTAATAGGTTACAATATCCATTATTCATTAAAAAATAAAATCTAATTAAATAAACAATATTTTATATAGATTATTACTCCCTCTGTCCCATCTAATATGAGTGTATTACTGTAGACACGAGAATTTAAGTAAAGTATAATTAGTAAGCAATTAAGAAATGTATTAGTAAAAATAATTATTATTTAGTAAAAATAATTATAAATTATGATTAAAATAACTAAATAGTTTAATTAATATTAAAAAAAATTTAAATTTTAAATTTTAAAATATGATTAAAGTGTATAATTAATTTTTTTTTAAAAAAGGACAAATTATATGGGACGGACGAAAATAGAAAATATGGATAAATTATGGGAGACGGAAAGAGTATAATGAAATACATATGTTTTGTTAAAATATTATTCACTCTATCGTACGTCTTTATTTTAGCATGTTTCATTTTATTTGATACATTTTATATTATATTCATTAAAATATTAGTATTTAACAATTATAAATCAATTTAATTAATTTGATAACATATATTTTTTCACTTTTAATTCAAAATATTTTTTTTACTATTTTTATTTGTTTCATATATTTTCAATTTTTATCTAAATTACAAGTAGTATATCATTATACTTAAAATAAAATCAATGGGCAAAAGTAAAACTCTCACGTACTTTTACTAATTAATAAAATAATATTATCCCAGTCTAATTAATAAATGAATATTTTGTTATGGACAGACTAAAATAGAAAAGTAGATACTTTGTTATGGAACGGAGGGAATATTAATTTTAATCTATTACAAAATTAGAAAATATTTTGGAGGGTGACGGATAAATTACATCCTATATAATGACTCATTCATAACACTTTTATTTATATATATTTTTCAATAAATAAATATTTTAATTTTTATTTATATTATTTATTTTATTATAAAAACAATTTATGTTATTATGTAATATTGGAGACTCTCAAATGTGGATAAATAAATTAATAATGCGTGTCTCTACTCAGCATAAGTTTTTAGATGAGATGATCATTTTATATTTTTATTAATAACTTACTAATTAAATTCAAAATGAATAGTACTCCCTCCGTTCCCGTATTTTAGGTAGTGTAGATTAGTAAGTTATTAATAATAAATTATGATATTATTTTATATTTTATATGAGTAGTGTTGTTGGTATTTTAAATATTTTTAGCATTATAAATCAATAAAATATATACAACATGAATATCATTTTGTAGAGAATAAAATTTTATATAATACAAATAAATAAAAAAATAATTTATTTATTTATAATTAACTTAAAATTAATTTTATTAAAAATAAAAATTTTTAAATATAGATAAAAATATTTATTTACGAGAAATAAAAATAAAAAAATTTTGAATAACCCTACGTGTAAGAAGTTAGAAATTAAATTAAATTAATTTATATTTAAAAAAAAAATGAAAGAAGAGAGAGAAAGTAAGAGAAATAAAAGGAGGCGTCTACTTATAAGAGAAGTAATGTCAAATCAATTTCCCGAAACGTCGGGTCGGGTCGACGGATCTGAATAGGGTCACCGGATTTTTGCCAAATTGGATCCATTTATAAATTATAATCAAATTTGGTGTATTAATTCAAAAGTTAGAAATCTAATAGTAATACTATATATGATTTTGACCAAGTCTTAGGTTAAATTATATAACATGAAGATCCACTCTCATCCTTATCCTAACGACACCTAGAATCCAATTTCACTCCTAAGATTTTGGGGGAAAATAATAAAATTGTATTATCGTTCATTAAAATAAAGAATTTATATATAATTAAAATCCAAGTAATCTAATCTATAAATAAGTCTAAATTTAGATATAAATATACTGAATCTAAAGCAACCGGGTTCTCGCGTTATTATAATAATAATAATAACAAAAGTGGTTGAATAATGTGCGTTTCTTTTGATGAGTTTGGAAAAAAAAATTGATTTGAATTTTATATAAAAATAATATTTGATGGGATGTTTTGTGAAAAAAAAAAAATGTATTTATTTCAAGAGATGCAGAGTCCAATGGAAAATTTAAAAAAACTCGACCAAAGAACGTTTAGGAGTTTCTAGTCTTTATCATTTAAATTTTTTATTTTTCTTTTATCTTTTAAGAAAATAATATTTATATTTTATATAAAACCATTATTGTTTGCCGCTTTTAATACTCACAAATCGCATTCCCCTTTGATTGAAATCAAAGAAATAGCCATGAAGTCTCAATATTTAATAGTACAATTATCCCAAAAATAAATATTTTTATTTTTATTTATTTATACTACACCTCACCATTGAATATATTTTCTTTCTATTTTTATTTTAAATTAGTTTTTTTTTTCTTTTTAAATTAACTCAAATAACCTAAACCAGAATTTAAATTCACAACAAAATATAAATAACTTAAAAGCTTTACTATAAAATTATATTTATCTATATATATATATATTATTACTTTCATTAGTTAATATATATATATATATAAATATATCAAATATTAAATATTAATTTTAATAAATCGAATTGGGTCAAACACAACCTAGTTTATTGGCATGCCGGATCAAGCACTAGTCGAAAAATAACGAACCTATTTTTTGTGGTCCAAATACAATTTTTTTTTTGTAGAGAATTTGGATCGAATTTTCAGACTATATCTATTTTTACCCGTTCTAATAACTATCTCCTTTAAGAGATTATATAATAATTGGAAAAAATATCAAATATAAAAAATATACTCACTCCGTCTCAATACAATAATTTCATTTTCATAAATAACTATACCACCATAAAATTATCCCTATTTTTTTTATTATTATTACACAATTGTCACTACTTTTTATACTAATATTCTTACAAACACAAAAAAAGTCATATATTATTATTTTTACTGACTATAATATAATATCAATTTTTATCACAATAATCTCAGCATTTATTCAACCGTAACCTACCATTTACACGAGTTTCAATAAAAATATATAAATTTTTAATAAAAAAATCAAATAAAAATCAAGAAAAAGTCTAAAACCAAAATAAAAAACACCTAATCCCAAGCACAATCAAAACAAACCACCCATCAATAACAAAGCTTATCTATATAAAATGTCACAATTTACACAAACCCAAATAATGAAAAACAGACACTACTCAAATTATTCAACCCTCAATTAAAATAAACAAAACAGGTGGCATATCACAATAATAAAATAAATAAATAAACAATAAAAATAATGTTCCTTATGTTCAACTTAAATTGTCTATTTTATGTTAGACACAGAATTTGAAATATTAGATAATTAACAAGTAATAAAAAAAAATATATTAGTAAAAATAATTATAAATTATATAATAAATTTTAAAATGTAATTAAAATTATAATTATAATTATAATTTCTAAAAAACATAGGACGGAACAAATAAAAAAAATAGTAAATTAAAATGAGAAAAAATATATTATTGTCTCATTTATTTTTTGCTTGTTGATATTTAAATGTTAATTATTATATAAAAATATAATAAAATTAAAAAAAATATTTCTATTAATATCTTATAATACTCTTATAATGATATTTGTGAAAAAAAAAAAAAAAAAAAAACACAAAAAATAAATAAATTTTTTTTTTTCGTTAAATACAATAATACAAAAAATAAAAAAGGCTCTTGAAACCAACGGACAGAGAATATTTACAACAATCTCAGCATTCATTCAACCGTAACTTATAATTCGCACAAATTTCAATAAAAATATATAATGTTTTTAACTACACATCAAATTAAAATCAAGAAAAAGTCTAAAACTAAAATAAAAAAACCTAATCCCAAGCACAATAAAATAAATAAATGAATAATAATAAAAAATAAAATAAAGAGCAAAGTTAGTCTGGCTCAACCAACGCATTCTGTTCTCTCATCATTTCCCAACTCTCTCTCTCTCTCTCCTCTCCCCTCTCTCTCTCCATGGAGGCCCCACCGCCCCCGCTCTCCGCCCCCATCCCAACCACCACCACTTCCGCCGCCGGGGCGGCGGCGGCGGCGCCGTACCCAGACTCCCTCGACTCCTCCCCCCGCTCCCGCCACACCGACTCCTGGGAAACGGACCCCCCGCCGCCGCAGAAACTTCGCCTGATGTGCAGCTACGGCGGCCACATCGTCCCCCGCCCCCACGACAAAACCCTCTGCTACATCGGCGGCGACACCCGAATCATCGTCGTCGACCGTCACACCTCCCTCGCCGACCTCCACCACCGCCTCTCCAAAACCCTACTCCATAACAACACCTTCTCCCTCAAATACCAGCTCCCCAACGAAGACCTCGACTCCCTAATCTCCGTCACCACCGACGAAGATCTCGACAATATGATCGACGAGTACGACCGCCTCCACTCCTCCGGCGCCGCCGGCCTCAAGCCCGGGCGCCTCCGCCTCTTCCTCTTCCCCAAGTCGCCGCCGCCCGCCGCCGCCGCCAGCATCGAGCAGCTCCTCGTCGAGACTGCTTCCACCAAATCCGACGACTGGTTCTTCAACGTCCTCAATGGCAAAACCAGCGATCGAGGCTTCTCCGAGTCCTCCTCCGTCAATTGCCTCCTCGGATTGGACGACGACTCCGTCGGAAAGGCGTCGGCGGCTGCCGCCGCCGATCCCCAAAATGAGGGATCGAAGAATGGGGGAAACAATACAGTCCCCAACCACGATGTCCACTCTGTACCTGATTCTCCGATGCTCGAAACGACGTCGTCGTTCGGGTCGACCTCGAGCTCTCCGTCGGTGGCGAATCTGCCGCCGATTAGGGTTAAGGTCGACGACAATCGGATCGAGGACCAATTTCAGCAGATGACGGTGGGGGTCACCGGGAATGTTGCTGCAGCGGCGGCGCCTCCGCCGCTGCAGAGGCAGGAGGAGGTTGGGGGTTTTGTAGCCACCGGAGTCGACGGCGGGGGGGTGGTGGTTTCCGGTGACTACCGCGTCGTCTCCGACGACGAAAGATCGGATCACGGGGGTTACAGGAAGGTACAACAGATTCAGCCGCAGGTACAAGTTATGCAAGCGCAGCAGCAGATTCCTCCTCAGTATCAGCAGATGAAACAAACTGGTGCCGCCATTGATTTCCCATCTCCAGATTCAGTTTCAAGGTCCATCTTCTTCCTCCCATACATTATATATACATAAATCTTCGATGATCTAAACAGGGATCTTGTCAACTTTGACATCTACAGCGAAGGAAGCATTCAATTATCAAGACAGAGACAAGCAATGTATCAAGAATCAATTATGCAAATGCAATCAGGAAACCCTAAGCCTAGTGATCAAAACACCAACAAAATTCAGATGCAACCACAAATTCAAGAATCAGGTTTCGGAATACCTGCCCAATTCGATCCCAGCCATAGTCACGCCCAATTGCATCACCCGCAGCAATTCATCCATGCCGGAAACCAATACATCCCCGCCGGAGCAATGCCTGTTCCATCATACTATTCGATTTATCCTCCCCACCACCAGCAGCAGCAGCAGCCTCAGCATCCACACCAGCCAATGCTAGACCAGCAGTACCCGATTTACTTCGTCACCGCCAGACCACCCCAAGCTTACAACATACCTACGCAGCAATCGGGTTATACTGACCTAGCGGCGCCAGCTGGCAGTCGACCCCAGACCCCTACTGCCCCTGTGCTAACTTCACACGCCGGTTACACTCAGGCCATCAATGCACCTTCTTCCAAACCAGAAATGGCTTCTGGAGTGTACAGAACTGCTGCTGCACCTGGAGGGGCGCCGCAAATACTGCAAATCCCATTGTCACAGCAGCAGGCGCAGTATGTCGGCTTCCCTCAACAAGTTCATCATCCCTCTCAGTCGATGGCACCTTCTTCGGCTGCAAATGCAAACTATGAATTTGCTGATCCTGCTCACGCTCAAATGTATTATACTCAAGCGTTGCCGCCTCAGTTGGCTGCTCAGTACCAAACAATGACGGCTGCACCTTCCGGGGTGGGGCCGGATGTCTCTGCTCCGATCCCTGCAGACAATGTGAAACAGCAAGTGAGGAATTTGCCGCAATGAGCAGGTGAGTTTGGTGTGGATAAACAATTTTGCAGCAGCATGTTCGGTTTTACATTTAAAGTTTTATGTTGGCTTGTCTAATTGTTATCGTTCTTTTATTTTGATTATTATTATTATTGTGATTGTTATTATTCTTGGTTTGTGGCTTGTAAGTTGAATAGGTAATAAGGAATCCTGCTCCACGCATTGTTCCTGCGTAGTGTCATTTCTATTCTCGAGTAAAAATAGACGATGTGTGATATTATACTGTAAAATCTCAAGACATTATAAGTTCGTAGGTCAGCCTATATTCATATTGCAGTTTGATTGAATAAATTCGTGTTTTTATTCAGTGAGTTCTGTCTGTGTTGTGATATAGATCATATCATACTAAAACTTTGAGCCACTGATCTTTGGTGCATATTTGTGTTTTTATTCTGTTAGTTATACCTTCTTCTTTTATTAGCTTCTAGTCGCATACATGTTGTTCTATGGATCATATCATACTAGAACTTTGAGCCACTGAGCTTTGGCGCATATTTGTGTTTTTATTCGGTTAGTTTTCTGTCTCCTTCTTTATTATGGATGATATGATACTAATACTTTGAGCTACTGAGATTTGGGTAATCTTAGTTAGAGAATATTGGTCGATAGATCTGTCAAGGAGACAGTCCCGGGTATTTTGTTGTGATAGATACATATTATTTGGGCACTTAATGTTTCCATTTGGGGTGTGCTAAGTTGAGAACTTGAGATTCTTTAAGGTGAAATGGCTTTCCCTTACACCCTCCATGGCCATATGTTCTTTAGTCCAAGTGTTCATACTCTGAGATGTAATATGGCTTCCTATATTTGTCGTCTAGAGAAGACTATATGGTTTTACTTTCATTCAATCCATTGAACATGGATTTTGTTTGGGAACTTCATCTTGGTTCTTATGATTGATCATATTGGCCAAGAAAAGCTATTGAATGTTATATGGTATTGAGTTTGATATTGTGGGCATAAAGATTAACTTGCTCCCATCCGGAACTAAAACAGTATGTGCTGAGATCAATTATATCGTGTGTTGTCTGAAATCAAATATAGCTTGTATGATCTATTATACTATCTAGTAGATGTTTCACTCAATAATGGTGTTTCTTGTCTCATTTATTCATTGCAACTGCTTCGATACTATCATTTTCTTGTCACTTTCCCATTATCAACTTTAGGACCTAAATGTTCATTCATGCTCATTGTAGTGCTGTCTAATCCTGAATTCCTTTGTGTTTTTAGATATGGTTTTGATTATACTTAATAAGTTGTATAGTGGTAATAATTAACTTTGGGGGTTAGTTTCTCTATGTACGAGGAATAATATGAAAATGAGGAATTTATATATTTATTTATTTATTGTGTTATGGTGACTTCCGACAAAGGAAAGTTATTAGAAGAAGAAGAAGCATCAGATTTGATTTCTGATACTCAAGACTGACTGCCTCTCCTTCTCCAAAATTTACATTGAAATGCTAAATCTGTGCAATAATAATAACTATGTCATTGCCAGATCATCCATCAATACTGCATTCTGCTACTTTTTGCTACCTAGTATTAAAATTTTGTCAGTGTATTTTTTTATATTTGTAATATTGCCTTGTCTATGTAGTTAAATATAGAATATTGATAAGCTGACTGAATGCTTTCATTATATATATATATATATATATATAGAGAGAGAGAGAGAGAGAGAGAGAGAGATAATTGAGCTGTTCCCTCCTCCAAAGGGCATTTGCTCTGCAAAGGCTAAAGTTACTAAAAGTTGGTCGTATTTTGAGGAGGATACCTAATTTTGAACTAACAAAACTGTAAATGATTTGTATAGGTACAGGTTGAATGTAGAAAGATTTTGGTGAGCTAAAAAACCATTGTAGTAGGAGAGTAGGAGAAGCCAATGGTGTTTACTTGGTGATTTTTTATTTTTTATTTTGGTTTTAATTTTGATTTAAATAATGAGTTGGAGCTTGATGTTTTATGTGAGGAAATTGTGTATTATTTAAGAAGAGTAGGGATTAAATAGTTAAGTAACTGAAATTTTTACACAGTGGATGAACTGAAGAATATTTCGAAAGTAATAAACAAGTGGCTGGCAACTGATCTATCTCATGATCAGACATCTGCAATTTTCCTACTACTATTTATCCCCCTTTCTTCTATAATTTGGATTACCGTTGCACAATATATCTTTATTTTTTTATTGCACAATATATTTACCAACTCAGGTTACAAATATGCATATTAAATGCCATTTATGTCTTAGGTTAAGAACGCATTGGGTAAATTCTAGATCGAACTTAATAGTTCACAAATTAGGTCAGCAAAATAAGTCGCAAATAATGTGTAGCAGACAAGACTTAGAAGCATCGAGGATTTGAATATATAACTTTATAGTTATAAAAATATAAAAATTTAACATTGAAAAACCTGAAATTTTCCAAAAAAAAAAAAGACCCGTGTTTCCTCTACTTGGCAGAAAAATTTCTATACTAAGCTCCAGAATTAGAACAAAAATATGTTATGTATTAAACTGAAGAATGAAGAAATGCATATCTGTTTGGTTATACTTCAATATATCAATTATACAATTTATCGAGGGTAGCACTCTTCAATGTGTAGGAATAAATAAATAAACAAAATGGACTAAAGTTAATTTTGTGAATCAATGTTGAAATTTTCAGCTAAGGCTGTACCATTTGGACCAAACTAGGATTATAGGAGAATTCAAATATTCCATTATCTTGAGAAATCTAATTAGTGTATGCGGACTATTCTTTTATTATACCTATGCTCGAATATGTCGGCATAAGGAGCCACAGAAATTGACGTTTTTATTTATTTATTTTTATTTAACTTTGAATATATAAATAGATTATAGGTTGTCTAGAGACTCTAGACACTAATCTTAATTATTTACTAAAGTTTTTATCGTCTAAAAATGATTATGTTCAATCATTATTATAATAATATATTAGAAATTTATTATATATCCACCTAATATTTATTTTCTTATTCAAATTTCAAATTTTTTACTATGGAACTAAAAATGATTCTTTATAAGATATAGTTTTAATTATTTTCTTTTATAAATCATCCTAAATCTTCAATATGACATTAGATTCAACGCCACATGCAATACAAATAATTTAAATGAGATAGAGATGTGAAATGGGGTTTCCTTGCTAAACCCATCAAAAAGTATAATTCATTTTTTCAAAAATTTAGCTCAACATAAAATTTTTTAAAAAAAACAAGATCAAAACTACTCTATACTAGTCTATACCCGAATCATTATCATCCCATCCCATGTTACACCCCAAGTAATGAACGAATATATTCTAGTGTGCAAATACTTTTGTACCAAATTAATATATATATATATATATAAATATTCTTATCCCAGTATGAAATATCCACTAAGCATTTTAAATAAAGTACCACAAGTGGAAACACACCAAGCAACCAAAACCGACCACATATCATTAATCAAGTACTGTTAATTGAAGATTTCCCAGTATGGCAATTATAAGAGCATAATAATAATAATAATAATAATTAAAAATAAAAAATAAAAGAGCAGCCTTGTAATGACTAATGTGTAATATTTCCATCATGGTTGTCTTTCTATCGACTAACCCTTCTATGTATCAAATAGTTATTTGCATTGAACTCATGACATTTTTGTATTTCGCTATAAGGTTCTCACATGCAATTTTTCTATAATGTAAAAAGATGTGTTTTTTACACAACAATCGAATAATTCAAATTTCAAACTAAAATAATACTAGCATATTTAAAAGCAAACTATTTGGGAGTTAAATTGCGTTGGGCCATACTCCCATGTAGCATATTTATAATACAATAATTATTATAATATAGATGAAATTAATGCGAATTGGGGCTAGAACACTATTGACAAATCCACCTCACGCCATGTGTAGTATTTTTATTGGGACACATGATAAGTTTAATAAATAATAGTAAAATATGTGTACTTTCATAAGTTATAAAATTTCACAAGGAATAGTTAAATATTAGTATTAGTTACCACTCTAAAACAATGAAAATTTTAATTTTATTCAAACCTATATTTTTTATTATTTTTAAACAACAAAAAACACCTAGACACTAATAAAACAAAAAAAAAGTTGCTTCAGGCAAAACATGAGTATTTAAAGCACATGTAATGACGAGATATCGTTAATTACTTCACTCAACTTACAATCTCAAAGCAATACTTGTTTAAATAAAGAATCATTTTCCCACCGCACTGAGAAAAACAAAAAGCTAACATTTGGTCAGCAATCTTTAGAAAAATTAATACTCTCAAGTCCCATAATAAAATACCATTTTTAATTTTTTGTCCTTCACAAAAAAAAATACTCTCTTTCGTCCCACGTGCCATGTCCATATTGCCGTTTCTGTCTGTCCCACGTACCACGTCACTTTATTTTTCTGAAAATGATTATACACTTTAATCTCATTTAAAAAATTTTAATTTTATTTTTTAAAAATTTTAATTGAATTATCTTAATCTTAATTTATAATTATATATATATTATAGAATAATTATTTTCACTCATGTATTCTTTAATTATCTATTAATTACATCCCTCCTAGAATATCATGTCTACAGTGTAACAGACACTAGTGTCATTTTCTAATTTAGTAATTTACTACCTATTTAACACAATTAATACCCTTACAATTTTTAATATATTAAACAAATATTATTACTTTTTTATCATACAAGCTAATAAAAGCATTTTTTATTTTTTTTTTTGTCTTTTCTACTATAAATTAATATAATACTAATATTAAGAAATATTACTCTTTTTGTTGGACAGTAGTACTATTATTGATTTTATATAGTATTCCATCCGTCCCACATACCATGTCTGTTACTGTATTTTAGGAGGATATAATAAGTAGATAATTAAGAATAAAGTTTAAAATGAGATTAAAGTGTATAATCAAAAAGAAAAGTGACATGGTATGTGGGACGGACAGAAACGACAACGTGTACATAGTATGTGGGACGGAGGGAATACTACTTATTATTGATTCGTGGGTATGAATAAACCAATGTGAAAAGGACACCCATAAAATAACTGCAAAATATTCTCCAAATATAGTGGATCAACAAAGACTGTCCCTAACCTCTCAGCACTTTGCTGTGTATATTAGCCACCTCAATTTGTGCTTTTATTATGATAATGGAAAATGATTCCATTATCAACATACTTAAAAATAATAATAATAATAATAATAATAAAATAAATAAATAAATCTTTTTCCTCATTTCCCCAACTATAAATACATCATCTAACACTTCAAATCAAACAACAAACACCCATTTCTCCATATTTGTTCAAGGTGATTAATTATCTTCATTTAAGGTAAATATATCCCCTAAAATCTTTCATTTTATTTTTTAAATTATTAAGTGTGAATTAACTTCATCAGGGATTACAGGCTGTTGTTCTATCTGAAATATGGAAGCAGTGATAAGAGCAGGGGGTGATAAATATGAGTGCCTAATCTTTGGTATATTACTAATTCTTTTATATTTGAATAAACTTAAGATTTATAGATATTGATTGGTTTTGTTATGTTCTTAGATATGGATGATACTTTGTATCCTTTAAGCTTGGGAATTAACATGGCCTGTCGCAAGAACATAGAAGGTACACAGTTACTGTATCCTAGAATTCATTTAAGCTCTAATGGCAAAATTATTCATAACAATTGATTTTTAAGTTCATGGTTAACTTTTATAGAATACATGGTGCATCATCTACATATGGAGGAAAGTGAAGTCCCTAGGATGTGTTTGGAGTTGTACAAGGAATATGGAACAACTATGGCTGGACTAAAGGTAGTTAATAGAAACTAAACGGGGTTTTAACTTTCTATGTTGGTTAGAAACTAAAGCCTTGAAGTCATTTCCTGCAGGCACTTGGATATGAATTCGATAACGACGAGTTTCATGCTTATGTTCATGGTAGACTACCCTATGAGTTGCTAAGGCCTGATCCAGTGCTACGTCATCTACTACTGTCTATGCCGCAACAGAGAATAGTATGTCCTAATTTGATTATTTCTAAGAATCCGAACCGGATGTGTAAATTTAATGTGCTGTAAGTAAGTAAGTACCTGTAATTTTCTGGCTGCAGATTTTTACAAATGCTGATGAAGCACATGCTGCTCAAGTTCTTCGGCGCTTGGGATTGGAAGATTGCTTCCATGGGATTATATGCTTTGAAACGCTTAACCCTCCGTCGGAGCTTGTTGAAAATGAAGATCCAAGTTTCAAGAATCGTGTTCTGTGCAAGCCTTTGTTAGAAGCATTTGAAGCTGCGATTCGAATTGCGGATGTTGATCCAAATAAAACAGTTAATAGCCATACCTCCTTAACACACTGGATCGGAATTTATAGATAACGTATGACTAACTGGGATTTACTCTTTTCTTTTGTAGATGTTCTTTGATGACAGTGTCCGGAACATAGCAGTTGGGAAAGCAGCTGGACTTCACACTGTAATTGTAAGTTCATGGATATATATTACACATGAGAAATCTTGTTTTGTATTTAACCTAACCGAATGTGCACAAAATGTAGGTGGGAAGATCAACTCCAGTCCCGGGTGCAGATTATGCTTTAAATAGCATACATAATATAAGAGAAGCTTTACCTGAAATATGGGAAGATGAAGGAGAGCACCTGGAGCAGCGAATCCAATCTTTGGCTGTAGAAACTGTTGTCCTAGCATAGACACGTGATGACTATCCTGGGAAGCATCACACTCACGTGACATTATCGGGATTCCACCAGCAATTATATGGTGGTGAAGTAATACCTGTGAATCAATAAAATTTTACAGTATACAACTGTTTTATGAACTAGATTGGCACTACAAAATTAGTAGGTGTAGCTCATAACTCTGCAGCCCACATCCAACATCTGCCACATTTTGCAAGTTCTAATAACATTTCTTCGATATCTGCAAGTTCTTGCCAATATTTCAGGTAGATAAAGACACTGAAAGAACTTCAGGATAATTGATGAAGTTGGACTAATAAAAATCAGAGTATAGTGGTTCAGACCTCATCAGATGTTGCAAGATGATAGAATCTATTTTAAAGAAGAAAGAGGTTAAGTTTCATATAAACAACCGACAACAATTTTTAGTTATCAGTTCAGGGCAATAGTATGTTGTACCATGAACATGAAGATTTTGGCCAGATTGATAGTGCTAGTATCATAGTTCATCAGTCAGCTTGACTTTGTCCAAAAGATAAGCATCAAAATTATTTAATTGGGATCTTAAATTGCGTCGGGAGCCCCATGAATGTTCTGGAGTAGATACTTAGCATTGTGCAGAAGAGTATCAGTCTCCTCATTTGCAGCATCGAGCAGGCGAAGTTCCTTCATCTCATCCTGCCACTTTTCTATTTGCTCCTTGTGTACTCTGCAACAAATTGAATTCATATTATCCTAAAATTCTCATTGCCACAACTGAAAATAGACATTTCATTTGCTTACAAAAGAATCCTTTCTTCAAATTCATTGCTCAGTTCCTTCAGCATCGACTTCCCTGATTCTAACAGCTCCGACACCTTTACAAGATAAGAAGACAGAATATATTCAAACAGAACGTTGTGGGAAGTCCCGGAAAGCACGAGACATGAATAAATCATACTTATTAAAACAGGGTATTTTGAAAGAAGATTTCCTGTTCAGTAAATCAGTAATAGGATACCATTTGAGTGAAGCTGTCAATCTTATCAAGAATTTGAGCAATTTCCATCTCCAATTGTTCAGAATTTGAAGTTCTGGGCTCATTTTCATCCTCTGGAACCTGGACAATGGGCCCAACTCCCACCAAGGTCTCCTCATCCTCCACCTGTTCATTACATTTAGGATAAATGAACTCTCTTTGCAATCAGACAATGAAGGATAGGATAAAGGGAGAACACATACAGAAGGTTTCATGCGTTTTGCTATTCCCCTTGTCTTTTCGTTTTCCATTTTGAATTGTATTGATAAGCACTGGAAGGAACAAGAAGCCTGATCTTTATCCTTCATTCAACAATTTTAAATTACAATACCAGACAACTGTTTAGTGCTACTGTGGTGTCAGCACATTAGTTTATGTCAAATTCAAATTCTCAAGATGATCATTTTGTTATCCACAAAAACACATTCATTCATCATATCAAATGGATTCAAACGCTTTCTCGTTTCAAGTTGCTATGAGACTTTTTGCAGGCTTTACTATGGCAAGTAGAAAGTCAGTTTGTTATCTGATAACTGTTCATTGATTGTAAACCGTAGCATTAAGATTTAAGAATTAGGAAATAGAAAACTGTTATGCTCCAAATTTATTGTGTCCTATTCACTCCTGTAAATGCATTTTTTACATTAGAATTCTAAGGTTCAATTTTAGGCCAGACAGTTGCAAGAGGTATTTTATTTAAGGGTTTTTTTCTTAAGAAAATTGGATTGCATAGTTCTCATCTTTTCTTACGATTAACTAAACAGAGAAACAGAGTCTACTCTTACTATTGGGTACATAAAAAATATTTGCAGAAATAACACAATTGAATTAAATTTTTTAAATGCTAAGCATATAAACAAACTTAAGATAGGAATCAACTAATATTTTAACAATGACAAGCTGAAAAGTGCATCCATGTGAAATTGAACAATTCGCAGAAACAGTTCTACAAACCAGAAAACCGAAGAATATGAACAAAGCCTAAGTTTCACCTTCGATCGATGCAAATCTTCCTATGGAAACAACACAAGCGAAATCCAGAGCTCGAACTTCCACGCTTCGCGTACTTCTCTGCAGTCCAGACTGAAACACAACTAAACATAAAGCACAATTAACTATCACGAATCAACACAACAGAACCAGTTCATCTTCTCGTTTAACAAAAACATTAGATCATATCAATTCATACTCTACAACATCAATTCGAATTCAAATTACCAGATTGTATCATCAGCAGCACTTCTCGAGCACATATACCGACAGAGAGCAGCGAGCACCGTTTCTTAGCGCCAAATCGCCCATTTTGTAGCAACGATTTTATTAAAATATCCATTTAACCCCAAACTTTTAATCCCATACAATTCAATCTGTAAACTTTAATACGTATCAAATTCACCCCAAAATTCCCACTTATTGACTCCGACCCTTACACTCTCTCCAAACCACAATAAAGTCCTAAAATTAGGAGTATCAAAGTTAAACTCCATCCGAAAAATCGAATCCGTTGTACCTTAATAATTTCGGGTTTGCAAAAAATCGTATAGATCTGAACCCGAAAAAAAAAAATTATGTTGTATTCGAATCGAGTTTCGGATTAACTTAATAATCAGAAATATAAAAATTAAGTTTTTATGTTTTCGATTAACCTGAAATTATTTATTATTATATTAATTTATAATATTTATATTATTTTAAATATAAATAATATAAAAATAAAAATAGAAATAAATATCTTTAGGTTAATTTAATTTTCTTTAAATTTTCAATGTGTTTTGTATTTGGATTGTTCAGGTAACTTAAAACTAAGTTACGTCAAGCAAAATCGAACTTGAAAAAATTTGTGCCAAATTTTTAGATTTCGGATCAAATTTCGAATGTAAGTCGGGTTTGAATTAACAATTTTGTATTATCCTATAACTCAATTTGATAAGAAGATAGTTCAAAAATACGATTTGACACTCCTACATAAAATCATAAGTTGACTGTAGAAAAGTAAACAGCCATTATTCAGACAGTCAAAACCAGTTTAGTTCACTCAGACAAAAACAAAAATCCCTCCAGAAATTGCCTCCAAATAATTGAATCAGTCCTTACAAACAAATCTATCGATTTAAATGCAGTTCTAAGAAGTGGGCCATATGAGTATATACAAAATTCAATTCATGATGTAGAAAAAGTCTGCCATGATTGAAGGAATTTCATCACATTGGATTCACACATCAAACAGTAGAAGAAACAACAATCAAGAAAGAACAAGAACAAGACAATGTACACAAACAAACATGTAATAATCGAACAGCAGCCAACGGCAAAAAGATCGAAAAAAGTAAAATATTCAAGAAACCTCTTCTGTAAGTAATAACATTTCTTCATAGCCTCTCCAAAGCATCAGCCACATGTCTCATAGAAGGCCTCCTTTCGGGCACCGTTTGCGTGCACGCCATCGCGATTTTCAGCACGGCGATCATCTCTTCTTCTTTATCGGCATCGGGGGCCAAATTCCGGTCCAAAACATCCGAGACTGGCTTTTTCTCCTCGATACAAAGCTGCATCCATTGAACGAGATCCATTTCCGTGTTCCCGACCTGGACCAGCGGGGCTCGCCCCGTCAGCATTTCGAGTAAAATCATCCCGAATGAATAGACGTCCCATTTCTGCGACGGCTTGACGACTTTGAGCGACTCCGGCGCTTGGTAGTACGACGGGAACGACGCCGAAGCCGAGGCAATTGTCAATACGTCCGACGTCGCCGTCGTCGTCGTGCTGCTTTGTTGAGCTCGTTCGGGTTTCTTCGGAGCGCCAATTCTGATCGATTGTAGCGTCGGGGATCCGCCGGCGATGTTCGCCAAACGGCCGAGGCCGAAGTTGGAGATTTTCGGCTCCATGTCATGCCCGAGTAATATATTCGACGGCTTTAGATCGCCGTGGACGTATTTTTTAGGACTATACTCATGTAGATACGCCAAGCCTTTCGCGACGCCTTTCATTACTCTCACTCTTGCCAACCACGAAAGCGGCGTAAATGTAGCCAATCCCGACTTACCTAAACACAATTAAAGAAAAATTTCGAGTAAACACATACCAAAATCACGGATAAATGAAACCTAAAAGTATCAAACGAAAATGCAATCTCACCGTGGATGGCCGTGGCGAGGTTCCCATTCGGCACGAACTCGTAAATCAAAAGCTTCTCGTCGACCGACCAATAATAAGCCTTGAGAGTCACGATATTCGCGTGCCGTATCTTCCCAATAGCTTCGACCTCCGTTTGGAATTCTTTCAACCTTTGCGAACCCCCTTCGCCTAATCTCCTAACGGCTAAAGTGAGCCCGTCCTCGAGCACAACTTTGTAAACAATCCCGATCCCGCTCTTACCGAGCACGAAAGCCGACGCCTTCAAAAGCTCGTCAAGATCGAACGCAATTTGTGTATCTAAAGGCACTAAATCATGTTGCTCGACGTTTTCGGACAAAGTCTCCGACTCATCCTTCCTAAAACAAAAACATTCCTTCCGTCCTCGCCGCCCCTTCTCGTTATAACCACGACCCTTGTCGCCGCACCGGAAAATCCTCGAGTAACAATACGAGAACAACAATCCAATAATGCATATCCCGACGACGTCGCCAACGACAATGGCGATCACCGTAGCTTTACTAAGCCCCCCGCCACCCCCCAAACCTTCTTGGGGCGGATAATTGCTCGGCAAATAAGGGAACGACGACGGCGAGCTCGCGTTGCCGCCGGAAGAACAAAGATTCTTCAACGGCGGACCACAAAGCCCGGGATTCCCTATAAACGCCGTCGGTCCCCTATTCACTAACGCGCCGTTTTGCGGAATCGAACCACTTAACTTGTTATAAGTAACATCAATGTAAACCTTCTCAGGAAGGTTTCCAAGGCTATTAGGGATGGATCCAACAAACAAGTTATGAGACAAATCAAGAGTCCCTTGTAAGTTAGACAAGTAACCTAAATCACTAGGAATTGAACCCCCAAAGGCATTGTAAGAAAGATCAAGTTTTTCCAACAAAGCCAAGTTCTTACCAATCCCATTAGGCAAATCACCACTAAAATTGTTATGACTAAGTTCAAGATTCCTAAGCCTTTTGCAATGAGTTATTGAAGCAGGTAAAGATCCATTGAAGAAATTTTCAGACAAATCCAATGTTTGAATGTATTCAAGATTCCCAACCTCAGATGGCAAAGGCCCAGAAATGGAATTCCCATAAAGAACCAAACTTTGAAGCCCTTGAGCCTTGAAAAGGTCATTAGGCAAAGTTCCATACAACTTATTGTTCCTAAGATTAACATGTCTTAACTCAGACAAGAATCCAAGTGAATTGGGGGAGATAATACCATAAAGCTTCTTGTTAGGGATGCTAATTGAGACAACTTTTTGGTTCTTACAAGTTATGCCATTCCAAGAACATGGGGTTTCAATTTCACCATTAATGGTGTTGTTGTTGTTCCAATTACTAAGTGACCCTTGTGGGTCTTCCCTAATAGACTGCTTAAATGACATTAGAGCTATACCTTCACCATTTAAAGAAGCTACAAGATTGTAAGAACTTAGTGAAATCAAAATCAAGAAAGATGGGAAGAAAGCAAACATCTCCAAGAAAAAGAAATGACTAAAATCAGATGATCAAAGATACTACTATGTAAAAAGATTTGTGGGTTTTCTTGGAGATCACTTACCTTTGTGCAGAGAGTTAGATAGAGAAAGAACAAAGCTTTTTAGAGTGAGAGAGAGAGAGAGAGATGGGAGTGTGGAAATGAGTAATATGAAAAGAGAAAGTTTGGTTCTTGGGAAAAGATAAAGGTTGGGTTCAAGCTCAGCTGCACAGTGGGGCTTTGGGGAAAATAGTTTTTATTTATTTTATTTTATTTATGGGAAGAAATTAGTGTGGAGAAATTTAGGAGAGAGAAAGGGCACTGTGTGTGCTGTCTTCCACTGTAGATTTTTAATTTTTTTCATATCCTTAATGTTTATTTACTGGACTAGACTGGACTGGGACTGGACTTGCTAGTCTGAAAGCTTTATATAAGGTCAGAGTTATTGTTGGCGGGTCCATGGACCCCAGAGCCAGTGAATCTACGCCGTTAATAGTGTGGGTTCGTGTATGGAAGGGGCTGATCGATTTGAGTGACCCACAATAAAGAATATTTGCTTTTTAGTACCTGCAGTTTAATTGATTTATAACAAGGGCATAATTAGATTTTTTTATACAGTAGAATTTTGTCGCAATTTTTAAAATGCGCTGTAAATAAAATTTCAATTGAACTTACACAAGACAAGATAAGTTATACTACCTTTAAACCGATTCTAACGGTCTTGATCTATTTTTGTGTGTTAATTTTTGAATATTAATTATTACATTTAAAATATAATTCAAATTAAAAAAAAAAAATTACAAAAATACTTCAATAAATGTGTCCGGAGGATGAAGTACTTAGACAAGTCTTTTATGATAAAAAAAACAAGACCTAACTGCATCTAAAAAAATTTCCATTTGATAGTTTGGATGTACATTTTTTAGTTTTTGTTATGATTTCTAGCTATTTATCAAGATTTTTTGAAAAAAAAAAAAATACTCCCTACGTCCCAAAACTATGGTATGGGTTGTATTTGGCACGAGATTTAAGAAATATTGATATTATATTGATAGTGGGTAAAAAATATGGATAAAAAATTTTTTTGCCCTTGTAACTGTATTAGTATACAAAGTAGTGGCAATTGTGTAATAATAATAAAAAAAGTAAGGGTAATTGTACAGTGACATAGTTATTTATGGAAATGAGACTATTGTATTGGGACGGAAAAAAATGGTAAACATCACTGTTGTATTGGGATGGAGGGAGTATTATATTAGCTACTCCCTTCGTCCCAAACACCCTGCAACATTTCACTTTTTGTTTGTCTCAAACTCACTGCAACATTTTCAAATTTCGAAATAATTAATAATATTTATATACATATATTAATTATATATTTTATTTTATCTCGTCACATCACTCAAATAAAAAAATAAATAATAATTTTCTCTCCAATCACATCACTTAATATTCAAATTATCTCAAATTATTATACTTAATACTCCCCACCTAAATTCTCGTGTCAAACACAAATGTTGTACAAGTGTTTGAAACGGAGGGAGTATATGTTTTTTATTTAAATAGTAAATTAATTATTATTCTAATTTCATTTTTTTTTTTTTTTTAAATTCGAAAGTTGAAATCAAAATTTTAAAGAAACAATTAGAATTATTGAATGTGTTCTTTTATCTTCCTATCATCTCTAATAAAAAAGACTTCAGCTCATATGTTCGATCAAGTTCTAATATATTTTCTTAGAAAATATTTTTAAAAATTACAAAAATTATTTCACTCACAATATTTTCACAATTTAAATAACTAACATAAAAATTTTGCTATTTCTTTATATTTGAATAAAAAAGATTTGATTTGAATTTGCTATTCATATATATTATATATATTTAATACCATGTTTTGGAATTTTAATAAAATTGAGAACAATAAAAATTTAATATTGGATATGATATGTTTAAATATATATATATATATATATTTAATAAGATATTGTTTATAAACATATTTTTTATTAAGGTAAAATTGCATAAATAGTTATATTTTTAGTAAAAATGTACAAAATATTCTATAGTGTCATATTTTAAATTAAAATAGGCACAAAATACCTCATTTCGTCTAAAGTTGATTTTTTACTGTAGGGACACATCTAATTATACAAATTTTATATAAATAAAAATAAAAAAATTAAATATTTTTATTTGAATAAAAAAAATAACTGATCAATACTTCATTTTAAAGATTTTTGTAAAATGTATGTAACCTTTAGCCTCCAAAACATATTAAATAAATTACTGATAAATTATTTAATTATTTATTTTATAAAACACATTTCAGTACCTAGCTGAATAAATAAAAATTAATTATATTAAGTTACATCATTAAATTATTTAATTAATATAATTAATTTTTCAATACCAAAACTATGTTATAAAACAAAAAAAAAAAACCGAAAACAAAGATGATGGTTTGTTTGTCTAAGAATTTTTCTTGGATATAATTCTTAATAATTATATTTTAATCGTTAACAAAAATTAATATTTAATATAAATATTATTTTTTATATTAATGATACAATTTTTTAGTTCACATAAAAGAAAATAAAAACAAAAATAAAAAAACAAATTATGTTGGATTATTAATTTTTTGTAAGTACATAAAATGTACTTACATAAATATGTTACTACATTTTTTAGTAATATTTATGAAAAATAAAGAAATAATAAAATTATTAAGTGAACTGATATTTTAAAATAGATAGTTTTTGGAATCAAAATTTAATCTTAATGTAAAACAAATTCAGATGTAAAATAATATTTTAAACATTTTATAAAGAATAAAAAATAATAATAATAGCAATACTGAACGGATAAATTATATAACTTTCCATTATGGTTTAGTAAAAATTGATAAAATAGCCTGTATTGTATTTATTGCGTGAAATCATTTGTATTAATGTAAAGTTTGCACGAAACACCTCATTGTCAAAAACTAATATTTGGTTCTAAATAAAGATCTAAATTACGACAAATTTTATAAAAAAAAAGAATAAGCAAAATATTTTAAATAATTTTTTGCATAAAATATATAAATAAATAATCGATTAGTCTTCATTTTATAGTTTTTTTTAATAAAATATATAAATAAACTGTTATGTGATTTTTATAAAAACTATAAATTTATTCTATTCAAAAAAAATTATTTAATACTATACTTTACGTTTTTTACTTGTATAAAACTTGCGTAATTTAAATCTTTATTTAGAACCAAACATCAATTTTGGACCAATATGTGTTTCATGCAAATTTTATATTAACACGAAAGAGTTTTACGCAATAAATAAATACATAATATTTTGTACATTTTACCAAAAAACACAAGAAGATGTTATACTTCCTCAGTCCGTCTCTATGGGTTACATTTACCTTTTGCGTCATTGTACTTAACGTTAAAAATATTCTTATATTTGTATAATTTTTTTATAAAAATGTCTTTCTATTAGTATTATAAGACACTAATAGAAGTATTTTTACAATTTTTTTAAAAAAATTTTATACTATATTTTAATATAATAATTAATCTTTAAAAATTAAAATATAAAAAATAAATTAGACTTTAGAGCCGAATAAAATAGAGATACTCCCTCCGTCCCATTAAAAGGTTATCATTTTTCATTTTCATCCGTCCCAAAACAAGGTTATAATTTCCTAATTTAATAATTGTACTACCTACTTAACATAATAAATACCCTTTCAACTTACAATATATTACACAAATACCATTACTTTTATATTACATCATACTAATAGGGGTATTTTTATCTTTTTTACTACAATTTAATACTCCCTCCGTTCCGAAACTAAGTATCCATTTGTTTTTTGCACGTAGTTTTAGAAATATTAGTATTATATTGGAATATAGTATAAATAAAGTAGAAATGATTAAAATAACCTTATTAGTATGTGTGATATAAAGGTAATGACATTTGTGTAATATATTATAAGTTGTAAGGGTATTTGTAATGTTAGGTAGATAGTACAATTACTAAAAAAGGAAATGGATACCTTGTTATGAGACGGATTAAAATGAAAAAATAAATACTTTGTCATGGAACGAATAGAGTATAATACTAAGCAAAAGACACACTTCCAACAAGTACCTAGGGGAGTAGTATAATTTAATTATAAACAGAAGCCAAAGCTGAAGTCCGACGTCCAAACAAACCAACAAAATGAAAACTCAAAAGTTGAAGCATGACAGACAACTCTCAGCAATTAATAATTCAAACTATTTATTAAATATTTATATTTTAATATTTCTTTTTTCGGAATCACAAAAATGGAGACCAGATTAGATGCACAGTGAAATTAAAGTGAAACCTGCCGCTCTAGCCTGTCTTTCAAAGCTTCGACCTCACTTTATATACACAAATTTTTATTTTTATTTTTATTTCTTTTTTATAAGTCGGTGCTTTCTCCGTTCACTAAATTTATTATTTTTTTCTTTATTACTAATTTAACAAAATCAATAAATTAAATATTTAATTATTAGTTTTAACTTAAATGTTGATAAAATTGTCTATAATTTACTTGTAATTTCGAATTTAATCTTTTATTTATTTATTTTAAAAAATATTGTATGAAATTTTTTTATAATTTCAAAACTCAGCGTAAATTCTCATTTTTTTAAAAATTGCTTTATACTTTAAAAAAAAATATTGAATGAAATCTCATGCTATGTAAAACATATAGATAAAAAATCTTCTCATCACACAAAGGGGATTACATGGTGGTGGGATTTCATACAATGATTTTTAAATATAAGAAGTACCATGCAATTTTTAAAATATAAAGAAATTTTACGCTGAATTTCGAAAGCACGTAAAATTATAAACAATTTTACCTTAAATATTTATTAACAACAAAAACACTGCCTTTTATTACATTCCTAATCTTTTTACTTTTATCATTTTCTTTAATAAAATATTTATTTTTTTAAATATTTCTATTGAACTTAAGTGGATTAATTTTAATGGACGGAGTAAGTAATATTTGTTAATGCTAATTTTTAGAAGGGAAATTAATATATCAAATATTTATTTTCTCAAAAAAAAAAAAAAATCACATTGCATAACATTTTTACATAGGTGAAATGTTTAATAAAAATGTGTGTGAGAGAGCATGCAGACCATGATTACACCACATGCAACGTTAATATATGAAATAGGTAATACTTCCTCCGTCCCAAAATTATAGTATAAGTTATGTTTGACACGAGATTTAAATAATATTAATATTATATTAATAGTGGATAAAAAATACGGGTAAATTACTTTTTTATCATTGTGAGTGTATCACTGTAAAAAATAGTGGCAATTATGTAATAATAATGAAAAAATAAGAATAGTTTTATAGTGATATAATTATTTATAAAAATGATACTATTATTTTAAGACACATAAAAATAATGAATAAGACTATTGTATTAAAATAGAGGGAGTAATAAATACCATATGACCAAATACTAACATCATTTACAGCAAAATCATCACATAGCCTTTAAATTAATCACCACTTTGGGGACTAATTTATCTTTAGCAAGAAAAGACATCTATATGGCTACACTTAGGGATGTCAACGGGGCGGCTTTGGGACGGGTTCTGCAGGCCCTGAGACCCGCTCCGCTAGAAAATATTAGGCTCTGACCCATTTTTAAAAAAATATATAATAATAAATATTGTTTTAATAATCGAATACTAAAACAAATAGCATTAAAAACACAAAAAAAATTTTAAAATAATCAAATATTGATCCATAAAAATAAAATAAATAAATAAATAATATATTTTTATTATATAAATATACATATATTAGGTATAATAATTTTAAAAAATTATTTAGAGCATACGACTAATTGAATTTTATATTTAAAATTATTTAAGTAAATATATAATATATTTTTATTATATAAATGTACATATATATATTAGTTATAATAATTTTAAAAAATATCCAGGTTCGGGTCCGGGTCCGAGTTGGGGCGAGTTTTTAGTAAAATCCGTAACCCGCCGCAAACCCGGGTGGGTTTAAAATTTTAAATCCACAATCCGCCCCGAAACATATTATTTAGACTCAAATTTGCCCCATTAAAAGCGGGTCCGGGGCAGATCCGGAGCGAACCCGCCCCATTTGACATCCTTAGCTGCACTGCTCAAACCTTGATAGATACATTCCACATCAACAAAATGTGATTCCCACGTTATCAAAAAAAAAAAAAATAAATAAATAAAATAAATAAATAAATAAGCTACAAATAAAAGGTACTACGGAAATATTTGGAAGAGGTACAAATAAAAGCTTGATTACAAGGAGAATGAGGCATAGCAAAGCCACGAACTTTATATGCACCTCAATGCGATCTCCGTCTAGGGTGTGTTTGTTTTTGTTTGTAGGATTTTGGAGGATTTTCACTATTCATCCAATTTTTTCCTCCCAAAAATATCAAATCAAATACCTATTTTTCATTTTTTATATTATACTAAAAATCAATTTTACATTCAAAACATCACATCAAACCCTATTTATATCACATCATACAACTATTCAAATTCAAAATTTTTACTATTCAAATCCCAATCCAAAATCCAAACCCCCAAACAAACACACCCTAGACACAAGTTATAATAAATATAATATTATATATTGATTATTGTAACATAAAATAAAAATATTTTGAAAAGTATATAAATAAAATAATAAAGTGAAATAATTTTTTTAATAGATTGAGTGGGTAAGTAGTTTTGATATTTTTGTAAATAAATATATAATGAATGATATAAATTTAAAAAATATGTAATAGTTATTTTTTATAAATAGAAAGTGCATAGTTTTTGCAAAATATATATATATATATACACTTTAATATCTCTCTATCCCACACAAAAAGATATCATTTTCCATTTTCTAAAGTAGTAATAAGAGTATTTTTATATATCACAATCTAATAGGATGTGTTTGTTTGAAAAATTTGTGAAGATTTTCACTGTTCATTCCATTTTTTTTCCCAAAAATATCAAATCAAACACCTATTATTTATTTTCTATATTATACTAAAAATAAATTTTATATTCAAAACATCACATCAACACCTATTTATATCACATCATACAACTATTCAAATTCAAAATTTTTACTATTCAAATCACAACTCAAAATCCAAACCCCCAAACAAACACACCCTAAGAGTATTTTTTGTCTTTTTCACTATAAACTAATATAATATTAATATTAAAAGAATTTACTTGCAAAAAATAAATGTTACTCCTCTTTGGAGACTTAGGTAGTATTATACTCGTCTTATCTATAAATATGTCACTATACTACCTGCACACTCAAATTTTCTTCCACTTTATTAATTCACTAATGTAATTTTCAAAATATTTTTATTTTATATCACAATCAACAAATATAATATAATAGTATATTCACTAAAATTTGTATTCAGCCCAAATGACTAAAAAATTCATAGTATAACCGGTAAAAATTTGCATAACAAAGTATAAGCTACAATCTATTAAGAAGGGATCAAGACATCCAATTTAAAATCCAATTTAAAATCAATTGGTGATAGGTGGAGTGGCCTTCTCTCTGTATAAGGGAGATCCCACACATTTAGCTGTGGGACAATATTCAACACAACCGACCAAAAAAAATAAAAACAAACAAAGTATAAGCTACAACCGACAAAAAAAAAAAAAAACAAGTATTTTCTACAAGACACCATATATAAGAAAAGGACTAGCCATCTCTATAAAACAACATGCCAAAACACAACGTCCACAAGAAAACAAAGGTTACTACTCCTGTACTTTTTACCAAAATTTCTTTCTCATCATACTTCTCAATCTTAATCTCAATCCTCACTCCAAAACATCGGCACATATATATCATATATATTCATATATATATATATATATGTGTGTGTGTATTTCTGGTTCTTTGTTTGTCGCCGCCGTGATCTAGTTTCACATTATAGCTTAAATATATGCGCAATATAACGAAAAGACAAACAAAAACCAGGCACATGCTCATCGATGGGGGAGTATAACTAACTATAAGGATATCTCGGAATTACCTGCGGGAGAAGAAAGAGTGGTCGGGATGGCTGACGTGGAGTGAGTTCACCCAATCATCAGCAGCTTGAAGCAGAGAGTTCGCCAAGAGCTGATGTCCCGAACGCGGGGTCCAGAGCGACGCTTTGTATTTATACGAAGCAAGGCCGAACACTGGGAGCAGAATTTGCGGCATACCATTATAGTCGGACGGATATTTTACATTTGGAGGATGCATTGTGTCACTGCCTGCATGAGTGTGCACAAGAAAAGTTAGATCAGCATTGCCATTGTTTGTGTGAAAATTAAATATAGGCACCATGTAACACACTCGAATCAGAAAAACCTAACCTATGAGTAAAAAAACTAAATCTAGAACATCTAAATCTAATCTAAAATTCAATAACTAAAATATTGCAACATCCCCTAAAACTCACTCAAATGGTTTCGCAGAAACAACTTGAGTTTGCAAAGAGAGATCGAAAATGATGCAGCCACAACCATCCACTGTGTCAGAATAAGAAGCAGTGCTCTCAACTAAATTAGATTCGAATATAACAGAATCTCAACGGAGTCAGAAACGTGGTTCTCTCACCAAAATCAGAAACAACGAGATTATCAACGGAGTCGGAAACAAAAAGACTCTAAACAGAGTTAGAAACATAGCTCTAGAAAAACGTGGCAGACAGATATCATCTATAACTTCAAACGCAGATAGAAAGACTACAAAATAATTAAAATCAAAAATAGAAAGACCCACAATTAAAGACAAATTTTCAAAAATCAGAAGCCTTCCGGGTACATTTCAAGCTAAATGTACCCAGAGAAACATGAGTTAGTAGGCAGTATCTATTTCAAGAGAAAATTAGGCTATGACGCAATAAATAAATTATAAACAGCTCAAAAATTGCATTATTATTCATAATAAAAATAGGGAGCTATAAAAAGGCATCATGTGACAAACTCTCGATAGACTCAAATCATAACAATCTAACATATGGATAAAACTAAATCTAAGTTTTAGTAACTAAACTATCTCATCAGTTTGAATTCAAAGGTATATGTAACTAGCTGCAGACTTATTCAAGAATAAGTGTAGGTACATTATTACAAGTGGTAACAAAGATTTATGCAGTATTACATGGAATTATATTTCGATACCTGTGATGGGAGTGTACAGAGAATGGAAGGTTAAAAAACATGCATCCAAATCTTGTAGAGTTGGTCCCGTTGGTATACGGTAAATGGGGTACCTAAGGAGCCATTGCTAAAATTGAGCAGCAATAAAAATATGCCGGTAACTCAGAATAAAAAGAACACTGTAATGAAAGGATACCATGCCACCGACATCCAGCTGGAGGGAAGTAAATCACAGCTTCGAAGCACATTTAATTCTGGGAAGCTACGTGAGAGATCAGAGATCTATGGAGAATAAACCATTGTCGATTATCCTTCGATAAAGAAAACATTGTTCACAATGTTGTAATATATGCAGGGTGAAATGTTAGAAATGACCTTGTCTGCCAACGGTTCTCGGCAGTATGGTTGCTCTCTGGCAAAATACTCGAGCAGCAAGCAATCTTGTGGGCTTCCGGATTCACCTTCGTCGCTTGAAAAACCTTCTTGGTAAATTGTGTTTTGATCTGCTAACAAATTTTCTACTCTAAGAATATCACTTGTGTGGAGATGGTTGGGTTGCTCCCTTGCACATTTCAAGCCACTTCTTTCTTGTTCACTATCGCTGCTTCGATCACTGCTTGAATCCCTAAAGTATTCGCCATCGCTTTCTTCACCATTACGCCTAAAATACGAAAGTTAGAGAAAGGAATGATAATTAGTGCGTAGAATTAAAGCACTTGCTATAATCTGTGAAAAATACTTTCAATCTTATCAATAAGATGCCGAATTAAAGTACTAGTTCTAAGAACTACAACCCTACAAGTCTTCTGCAATGCAAATTATAATAGTATGAAATTAAGTGCAAAAGATGGATACCTTAAATTGGTTGTTCTCTTTGATAGCTGAGCATAAAGCTGAATGCCCGACAAATATGGAACATAATACTGAACCACACAATCGGAATCATTCAATATCAGTGGCACTCCAGTGCCGTAGACACTCCATTCCTTGAACGAAGTCCATAAATCACCAAGCACAAAGAATGGCTGATATTCAACATTGCATGTTCTCCAGTCCTTCACAGTCATCTGCATTGTATAAAGTTGCAATAAATAATACTCCACATGAAAAGAAGAACAACAATAATACCACATTATAAAGCAACCCCACTTTGAAAAAACTCAACACACTCAGACAAAAACAATCAACACAAACAAAACTTGCTGCTTGACAAAAACAATTCAACATTGCATGTTCTCCGGTCCTTCACAGTCATATTCGTAGATGCTAGTAGTTTAACAAGAAACTTGACACCTGGGGAGGAGGGAAAAAAAACCCAATAAAATGTTGTCAAACAATGATTGACCGAGCAACAAAAGCCATTTTATCCTAAGGGTGTGATTGGTACAAAGAAATAGAAACATCTCCTTTGAAATTTTGAACTTGAGAAATAAGTAATTTCTCATTCTAGTAATAGAGAGAAATGAATATAAGAAACATTGTAAAGTGTTTATTTGACAATTTTTTTTTTTTCTATTCAATTTTTATGATAATTTGTAAAAATATAATAATTCACTAACAAAACATCACATTCAAATTATTATTCAATCCAAAACAAATACTTTAAAAATAAAAAAAAAATAAAAATCACCAACTAAACACATCAATAATATTTCTCCGAAGATTTCCACTCCATTGAAATCTTTTTTTAGTTAATTCATTTGCTCCTCCTAGTTTATTCACCTTCTCTTTTTCCACTCTTTTGAAAGCCTAATGATCATCTCCTATAGATTGTTTACCCAAATTGTATTACATCTCTCCTTTGAATTCTATGTTTTACCAAACAATGTAATCAATTTATCATTTCTTGCAATTTCATTATATGTAACAAAGGCACCCTAATTTCTCATGAATCAACCAGAAGATTCTCCACTATTTAGCCTGGCAGAAGTTTATTGTTGCATAAGAATTAGAAATGCATCCAGTAAATAGCATAAGTGACACTAATCTTTGATATTACTGATAAGTTAATAACTAAACTCAGAATAAATAGCATAATTGACACTAATCTAACATTCAGTCAACCAGCCAACAAAAGACAAATTCCACATTGAGCAAACATTCAATTCCTAACTAATGAGCTAACCATGTAGCTCAATTGCAACTTTCTAAACAATTATAATTCATAAAGTGAACGAACATTCATCAATTTCTGAAATCCTGTTACCTAATTAGATTTAGATAGCCAATAATTCCAACAAAAATAAGCACCAGCTCCAGTCAAAATGCAATCAATTTCATAATCTAAAATTTAAAAAAATGAATAAATTAAAGCGAAATACCTTTGATAAGTACTGCGCTGATACGGAAGGCGTAACAGATTCCAAAAACCGCTGCAAATTGCACAAAGGCAACAGTGAAGACGCCACCGCCGGCGCTATCTGGTTAGACTTCTCCTCCGACGGCTCACCGCGCCGGCCTTTCCGCCTCGAGAAAACATCACTCTGAGCCTTCTGCAGAAAATCTCGACTCCGATTAATCCTTGAAACGCTATAAAACAGATCGTCGCCGCTCGTAGTCCTATTGAACTGCATCCCTGGCCCCAGCATATTATCAAACAAAACTAGCTCAAAAGCAACTAATCTAACAATACAACTGATTCGCGTGTGTCAAAAACTCCAAATCCTGTTTTTCCAATGGACCATTCAACTGCAAAATCTTCGAATTAACTTATCCACAATCTCACAGCAGCTGATCAATTAATTAACTATATATGCATCCATCAGTCGATGATAAAGAGTATTGGAAAGCTAAATTGCACCACCAATGTTGCGATTGCAATGAAGAAGCATATCAATCAATTCCGCATCAACTTCCAATGGCATATTCAGCAGATTGTGCTGCGTGCATATAAATATTTCTAGAGAGAGAGAGGAGGTGTGTTTGGTGGGAATGGACAGAGAAAGCGAATAAAATTGAAATTGTTTTTGCTTATTTATAGAATTTTACGATTTTATTCTGCATATTTGTTGATTTCGAAATTTACATTTAATTTTGCATTAAACCTCTATAATATAAGTCTTATCCATAAAAGTAATGGAGCATATATTATTACATAAATTAATTTAAAATGATAAAAAAAATATTGAAAATATTCTTAAAAATTGTTTGTTTTTTTTTTTTATTATTATTATTTTTAAATAATAATCATTTTTTAAAACATTATTAGTTTGTTCTTCCAAGAATTCCCAAAAATATATAGTATTTTTTTAAAAAAATACCTCATACTATCCAAAGTATTCAATTTTTCATTTTAGTCTTCTCATAAAAAAGTATTCATTTATTTAATTGTACTATCTACTTAACATTACAAATATCCTTCCAACTTACGATATATTACACAAATACCATTATTTTTATATCACACCATAATAAAGTTATTTTAGTCGTTTTTACTTTATTCCTATTACATCTCAACGTAATACTAATATTTTTAAAACTTCGTGTAAAAAACAAATGAATATCTAATTATGGTACGGAGGGAGTAATATAATATACATACTTATTATTTTTATATTATTTATATAATTTCTTATGTCTCACCTAAAAACAATTTTACTAAACAAACACACTCTAGTTTTTCTAAATAAATAAATATGTATATTCTCTAGTCTCAAATTCAAATTATTTTTTTACTATTTTTGTCTATTTTTTCTATCTTATTTCAAAATATCTCTTTCTAATTTTAGAAAATATAATTATAAATTAATATCAAAATACACTTTAAATTTGACTTATATTACAAATGGTAAAAATATAAAAAATCTATTATACAGTTCTATTGTTTCTTAGGGTGTGTTTGTTTGAGGGATTTTACCCTAAATACACTATTCATCCAAATTTTTCTCCCCAAAAATATCAGATCAAATACCTATTTTTTATTTTTTATATTATACTAAAAATCAATTTTACATTCAAAACATCGTATGAACACTTATTTATATCACATCATACAACTATTCAAATTCAAAATTTTTACTATTCAAATCTCAACTCAAAATCCAAACCTCCCAAACAAAGACACCCTTAATATACTACGAAATCTCAAATTTCAACTTTAAAGTGACGGAGGGATTAGTATTTTTAAAAAATTGAAATTACTTACCTATTTACAGAATTTTACGATTTTATTATGCATATTTATTGATTTGAAAATTTACATTAAATTTGCATTAAATATTACATAAATTAATTTAAAATGACACCAAAAAAAAAATTTAAATTATTCTTAAAAATTGTTTATTTTTTAATTACTTTTAAATAATAATTATTGTTTAAAATACTATTCTTTTCTAATAAATAAATAAATAAATATTGAATATATAATATTTTTAAAAAATGAAATTATTTACCTATTTATAGGATTTTCCGAATATTTTTGCATATTATTGATTTGAAAATTTACATTAAATTTGCATTAAACATATAGGACAATTTACATTAAATAAATTAAATATCTCATTTACTTTTTGTATATTTATTTATAAATATTAATTATTATATCAAAATATAGTACAAATTAAGAAAAAAAATGTAAAGATATTTCCTTTAGTGTCTTATAATACAAATAAAAAAAATGTAAAAAAAAATAAAGTATAAGGATATTTTTAATTTTTAAATACAACAACGCAAAAGGTTAATACGACCTTTAGAGGCGGACGGAGGGAGTAATATATTACACACATTTATTATTTTTTTATTATTTACACAAATCTCTATACCTCACATAAAAAAATTCATTCGAACAAAAACACAAAACAAACAAACCCATATTATTACATAAATTAAATTAAAAGAAAATATTCTTAGAAATTGTTTATTTTTTTAATTATTTTTAAATAATAATGATTGTTTAAAATACTAGTATTTTTTTTCTACTATATAAATAAATATTGAATATATAATATTTTTAAAAAATATTGAATACTATGGGTGTGATAAATTTTTTAAAAATTTATTCAAAATAAAAAGATTATAAGTCGCAACAAATAGTGTTGGTAATATAAAAAATATTATTTTTACCTGTCAAATTATATTATCATTCATTTTTCATTGTCTGTCTAAATTTATATATATTTTATTTATAATAAAAATATTTATCTAACTATAATTTTATTCTTCATATTTTAAAAAATAATAAAATATTATTTATATTATCCTTTTTTATTTGTTTCACTATTTTTTATATCAACTTATTAATAAGTTTTCATAATATCTTCAATTTAATCGAAAGTGTTTCAATTACCGTATTGATTTAGTGAAACCAGTACGGTGTGATTCAATTAACAAATATCTGTTTAAGAAAAAACGTAAATAAGAATATAATATATAACACATATTTTAATAGTATATTATGTAATTATATATATAAAAAAAATATATTCAAATTTCATCACAATAGTAATTTAATCTAGCTAATGTCTATAAAGAAAATATTCTATCCGTCTCACTTATTATATTTACATTTTCATTTTCGGCTGTCCACTTATTTTGTTATTTTTATAAAAAAATTAAAAATTATACATTCTAATCTCATTTTAAAATTTTCAATTTATAATTTTTTAATTTTAACTGGAGTAATTAGTTATCTTAATCTATAATTATTTTTAATATATGATAATTATTTTCACTAATACATTCTTAATTATTTACTAATTATATTTCTCTTAAATTCTCGTATCTACGGTAAAGTATACATGATATTTGGGACGGAAGGAGTAGCAAATATTATTATAATTTATAGTATATTATATAACACAAAATATGATATTTTTCTTGTGATGATTTTAATTGTTTCAAGTTAATATACTAACTTAATAATTTATTATTTGTCGAGTGATATTTTGCTAATTACATTAGCTTAATTTACTGATTTGATCGAATCAGTGCCGTCGTATTGAGAATTGTATTAAAAGATATATATATTTTATGAAAAATATATTTAGAGCGTTTCAAAAACTATATATCATATGTTGATTTTAATTCAAATACTTTAGGCAATATATTTTATAATTTTATGTAGCACAATATATTATAATTATAATAGAATAAGAAAATTATACAATATAATACAATATATTTGTATAATTTTTTACCCAAATGTTATTAAATAAAATTATAAAATACTAATAAAAATATTTTTGTTATTTTATCTTGATTTGTATTACATTTCATATAATAATTAATATTCAAATATCAACATCTAAGAAGTAAATGAGACATTTAGAGCCCGATGAAAATAGTATATGTTAATACAATATTTTGTGATTTCAACATATTAAATAGAGCATACAATATAACACAATATATAACTCACACAACACATATTACTCTCTCCATCCCACATAATTTGTTCATATTTTTATATTTTCGTCTGTCCCATGTAATTTGTCATTTCATTTTTTAAAAATATAATTATACACTTTAATCACATTTTAAATTTTAATTTTTTTAATTTTTAAAATTTTAATTAAACTATTTAGTTATCTTAATCTTAATCTTAATTTATAATTATTTTTAATATACAATAATTATTTTTACTAATACATTTTTTAATTACTTACTAATTATACTTTACCTAAAATCTTGCGTCTACTGTAATATACTCATATTATATGGGACAGAGGGAGTAATATACTACTTCCGCCCCGGCTCTAAGGATCTCATTTATTTTTTGCGTGTTGATATTTGAATATTAATTATTATATAAAAACGTTGTACATATTAAGATCAAATAACAAAAATACTTCTAGTCTTATAATACTAAATTATAATGATATTTGTGTAAAAAATTATACAAATATAAGAATATTTTTAATGTTAAGTATAACGACGCAAAAAGTAAATGAGATTTTTAGAATTGGAGTGAGAAAGTATTATCTATATATACATATATAAAAGAGATCGGCGTGGGTCCGTTTAACAAAATCTATTTTCTCATTTTTTTTATTATTATTTTTTTTGATAATTTGAATTTTTTTAATAAAATAAAATAAATAAAATTATAATTAATACATTTTTAAAGATAATAAAATAATTAATTTAATTTTATGATTAAAGTATATTATAATATAATTTTATGTTAATTTATACCCCTAATTAAAATTAGTGAAAATATAATAATTTTGAATTGTAATTTTTATTATTTTTATATAATTATATTGATAATCAATAAAATTAAAACTACGTAATCATATTGTAATCTTAATATATATATATATATACGTCAATAATTATCATAATTTTATAAAATAATAAAAAAAAGAATTATTTTTTTATTCTTAAAATTTTTTAAAATCAAACATATCATTTAGTAGTATCACATAATATTTATAACTAAAAAATTATTTCAAATAATTCAAATTCAGAACTATCCAAACCAAAAATTCTTCTAAAATTCCTATATAAACGCAACAATATCCACATTTGAAAGTATTTTAATTAAAATATTAACAAAAAACACGTACTCCCTCTGTTCCTCGATCATTTATTTTTTTTTTTTATTTTGATTTGTACCATAATAAAGTATTCATTTTTTTTATTAATTGTACTATCTATTAACATTACAAATATTCTTCTAATTTACAATATATTATACAAATATCATTACTTTTACAAAAACTTATTTTATTTTAATATAATACTAATATTTCCAAATCTTCTTAGTAAATACACATACTACACATATTGCATTTCTTCTTCATCCCCCGATTAGGGTTTCTGAACCTTTTTCTTCTATTATTCTTCCCCAATTTCTTCTTCACCAATTTCTCCATGGACGCAGTCGAAGGCAAGACCGCGACGTTCGCCGATAAGGTTGTGGAGAATGTGCACGAGAGTGGAATAGAGAAGACGGCAATGAGGTGGTCCGTACCATTCGTGATACTTGTGGTCGTCAAAGCGGTGGTGGTGCTGGAGAAGCTGCGAGCGGCGGATGCGGCGGCGGCGGCGGGAATGTTCGCCGGAGGTATGATAATATTTATGTTCCGGAACAATGTGAGTCGGCTGGCAAACGCAGCCGAACTTATAGGAATCTATTTGTTCTGCATCAGTGCGTACTTCGCTACCTCCTTATTTCAATTCCCACACCTCCGTCCGTTCTCTGGTTTAACGACTTTGATTGTGGTTTTTTGGTCGCCTCTTCTTTTGTGTCTGCAACCCTAATTGTTTCGTATTTCAAATCGCCGCGGCCGGCGGCCACTTCTGGGCTAGGGAGTGTTTGAATCTGTTTGTTTGTTTTTTGTTTTTTTTGAATTTTTTATTAGGTTAGAAGGTTTATGGAAATTGTTGAATGGAGTATAAGATTTTGGTGAATTGATATTACGATGCTTATTTTAGATATTCCTCCGTCGCTCCGTCTCTTAACAATCTATCAAATTTTAAATTTTAGTCTTTTTTTTTTTTTTTTTTTAAGTAATTGTACTGTCTACTTAACATTACAAATATCCTTCAAATTTACAATATATTATACAAATGTGATTACGTTTATATCATATAATACTAATAGGCTTAATTTAGTTTTTTTATCTTTATTTCTACTTTATTCCAATATAATAAATATTTTTAAAACTCTGTGCAAAAAGCAAATAGACGGATATATAGATATGGAATGGAGATAGTATATATTATTGCCTTGGGTTTTATTATTTGATCGTATTCTAATTTGAATTTCTTTAAGGTTAGAAAATATATATATTTTTATTTTGGGACATTCAATTATAAAGTAAATATTTAATTAAATACATTAATTTTTTATTTTTTTTCACAAATACTCTTATTTTACATTACATGATTACTTTTACACACACCAAAAAAAATAAGAGCAAAAAACGTTACACTATTTTTAACTTTTCTATTATTTTTTAAATACTGCTCCAAAAGTAAATATTTACTTTATATATGAGTGGAGAGAGTATATACTTCCTTCATCCCGGAACTAAATATTCATTTACTTTTTGCACGTAGTTTTAGAAATATTAGTATTATATTGAGATATAGTAGGAATAAAATAGAAATGACTAAAATAACCTTATTAGTACGAGTGATATAAAAGTAATGACATTTGTGTAATATATTGTAAGTTGTAAGGGTATTTGTAATGTTAGGTAGATAGTACAGTTACTTAAAAAAGGAAATTGATACTTTGTCTGACGAACTAAAATGGAAAAATTGATACTTTGTCATTGGACTAACTAAAATGGAAAAATGGATACTGTTATGGGACGGAGGAAGTATTATTTTTTTTACAAAAGTTTACACTCAATATAACATTTATAGTATTTAATATTTTTATTTTTGTTTATCTCATATGATTTGTCATATACTTATTTTTGAAAATAATTATATATTTTAATTAAATTTTAAATTCTAATTAAATTATTTAAATATTTTTATTTATAATTAATTTTATTTATTTTTAATAATGCACTTGGAAACTTTATCTATTCTAACCAAAGAATACGAATGAAATCGGTCAATTCTAATAGATCAGTTTTGGTAAAAATGTTACAACTTTCTTTTATTTTTTCAGTGAATATTTACAAATTTAGGACTTCCTTGTTCTGTTTATTGCAATTCCACTTCTTAAAATGGGTGTCTTTATTTGGAGGATTTGTTTGGATTTTTATTATTCACTAAAAAAATATTTTTAAAAAATACTCCCTCCGTCTACTTAGAAGGTTGACATTTATTTTTGGCGCGGTATTTATGAAATAATAGTATATTAATTATAGTTAGTAGTTAAAAGTAGCGTAATGATATTTTTACCCTTACATTTTTTTTTGTGTAAAAGTATGATGTGATGTAAAGTAAGAGTATTTGTGGAAAAAAGTAGAGTATTTAATAAAATGTTAACTTTGTAATTGGACGTCTCAAAATAGAAATATGTAAACAGTGTAAATGGACGGAGGGAGTATCAAATTAAACATTTATTTTTTATTTTTTATATTATACAAAAAATCATTTACACTTATTTTTATCACATTATACTACTATTTTAATTCAAAATTTTTACTATTCAAATTACAATTAAAATCCAAACTCCCAAACAAACACACCCTTTGATTGTGTTTTCTTGGTTTGATACAACACTACATAACATAATTATCACCACTTGCTAAAACTTTTTAAAAATATTTACTTTCATTATTTTTTAAATATTTTTTAAAAAATTAATGTAATTTTATTGAAAAATCTATTTTTTTCCACTAAAAATGGAATAAATATATATAAAAAAAACAAATAAAATAGTATATCTATTGTTATTAGATTATTTTTTAATTAATATATATTTTTCTTAAATTTATAATTTTAAATAAATATAATAATTTTAATAAAAAAATTATGTGTTAAAAAGCATATATATGAATTAATAATTTTAATACTTTTATTTTATCTTTATTTTAAAGAATGTACAATTTTTTATAAAAAAAATATTTGATATATAAAAAATATAATTACTTTAAATGTATATAAATAGATTTATAAGTTATTAGAAGAAAATATTCATCAAATATTTATTAAATAGTGTAATAAAAAAGAAAATTAATATATATGAAAGAAATAATTTATTTTAAGGGAAAATAGAAAATTAAAAAATTAAAATGAAAAATATAATTTAACAAATACAAAAATTAGCTAATTTACGTGTTTAAAAACTCTTTAATAAGGTAAACAAAATTTAAAAAGCTGTTCGCCAAGATAATTTTTTCAATTTTATAGCCATGACAAACAAATTTATCTAAAAAAATTTTATTTATTTTTTACCTACATCATTAATATTAGCTATAGTATAATTCTCACTCTGTCCCGCAGCAAGGTTGTCATTTGATTTTTTGCATCATTATACTATACATTAAAAATATTCTTATATTTGAATAATTTACTCTAAATATATCATTGTATTGTTATTATAATATACTAATAAATATATTTTTGTCTTTTTTTTTCGATTTGTACTATATCTTGATATAATAATTAATATTCAAATATTAAAACAAAAAGCCAATGACAACCTTGCAGCGGGACAGAGAGAGTACTTATATCCATATATTATTATATTATACAATATATATAATAGCGGTTAGCGGTAGAAATAATTAATATTTTTATTGGACAGTCCTATAATAATATTACAAAAAAAATATATATATTTAAAGGCTCGCTCAAAAACATTGGCCACAATGAATAATGGCGGGACCAGAACAGAACAATCAGATACAACAAAAAGGATTTTCTCCCAGCTGCAAATTTTTATTCAATTCAAATAAATATGTGTATATAAATATATATTTTAGTAGTAATTTTTTAAATTTTTAAATTTTTTTTACTCAATGGTTAGAAGTTAGCTGATCACTATTACCCAAAGGGATTAAATGAGTTCTGTCGTTAGAAGGACTTACATTCTGGTGTAAGGCGCCGCTGTTATCTGCATTTCCCCGGCGGGATTCGACGGCGCCGCTGCCGGGTGTCGGTTGGGGCTCCGGGTGCTTCTCCTGCGGCGACGACAAATGCAGCAGGAATCGGTGGATCATCTCGTAGCTCGTGAACGTGATCACGGCATTCGGGGTGGTTCGCATGAGATTTGTGGCGCATCCGCGGTAGAAACCCGGGACGCCTTCCGTTTTGAACACTTTCTTGACGCAATCGACGACGCCTGCGTAGTGTGAATGAGCGTCGGGATTCCTTAATTGCCCCTGCTCTTGTAGCCTCGATCGGATTACCTGACGCAAGATAACGAGCATTAGGTAATTTCTTTTTTGGATAAACTGATTTTTGTCCCGTAAGTTGACAATTTTTGCAATTTTAGTCCTCTGGTGCCGGAGACGTATTTGCCCAAGTCAGCAACACTGGACGGATATGCAGATTTTTTTTAATTATTATTTTTTAAAAATACAATAAATAAATTAAAATAAAAAAAAAAATCTGCGTATCCGCCGCCACGTATTGCTGACCTGGCGGACACATATCCTCCAGCTAACCACGTAGGCATTTCCGGCGCTAGAGTAAAAGTGTGAAAATTTTCCATTTACGGGACTAATTAACGACAAGCTCCGATTACAGAGTAAAATGATAAATGGTCCAGTTACAGGAGAAAAAAATAAGTTTACCTTTTTTTCTAATATTAAACAATCAGAATGGAAGGAGTAGTGAGAGAGAACCAGACGTACCTCGTGAGGATAAGTCGAGACGGAAGCAACTACTTTTGAAAACGATGAGGCAATAGCAACTTCCCAGGTTCTGAGCTCGTCGATTCTTTTATTTTCTTTTGAATCGAGATAGGAGGGAAAAGGAAACATGTTTTAATCATCCTATATATCGGAAATAAAGAATAAAACGATGCAGAAATAAATGAAATAAACGATTACGGTCCTATATTATACCTCGCTTGGCTAAGTACAATTTTATCCTTTCGTATGTAGGGAACTGGATGGCGACGTGACTAATTCCAGCCAATGAAGGTAGAAGGCCACTGAAAAAAAAAAAACAATGAAACAAGAATACAATACAAGTAAAAAAAAAGTTGCTTTTGTCAATCCATTGCATCGGGGAAGATAAAATTAACGGAAGTTGCTGCAGTCGCTCTATATCAGGCATGCTAATCAGGACAATAATAGCTCAAGTATTAATTTGCTGCAGTCGTTCAGCTTACTCGTTAAATTTCCTGACGTCATTTTTATAAAACCGAACAAAACACTGACCTGTACCAGCCTCGAAATCCTTCTTCATGTAGGATTCGTCTCAATGCAGAAAATATACTCTTGTAAGGAACCACGCCTTGTCTCATTCCTTGAGTCTAAGAGAAATGAGAAAATATCACAATTAATATAACAAGCTATTCGAGATTAAGAACATTCTTTAGAAAAACCGATTTGATAGTCCAAATCTAACACATCTAAGTTGCAGAAGAAAATCCATCGTAAAACAGAGTTTTCAGAACTGCTATGTTTAATTAATAAGCATGCTACCGATGGAGTGAAAAAATATTGTCATGTTACAAAGAACACTACAACCTACTTGAAGTCGTGTCTTGACAACCCATAATGGGTTTATAGCAATCGCTGTTGCAGCACCGGCTCCGGCAGCAGCTATCGCATTTGACGCAATTGATAGCTCGCCCTTGGTACTATCTGTAGCATCGCAAAATGTTAAATTGAGAAACATTTGAGAAATAAAATCAACCAAAAACAACAAAAATTGTTCTAACACATTTGTAGCGAGACCATAGATGAAGTAATGTCGTTTAAAATGAGCTCAGTAAAGGCGAACAGTGGAAAAGATATACGAAACTTGCCATATGTATGTAATAGGTCTTTAAGATGTCCATAAACTGTGAAATACACCTGCCAATGATAGTATTCAAATGAAAAAAAAAAAAAGTTAGCATAAGTTACGCAACATTCAAAGAAGGAAGAAATGGACAACAAAATTGTAAATCGAAATGATACTGCCAAGTACCAACATCCATTATTCCTTTATTCATTTTATTTTATATTTCTTTTTATTGAGAGGGAATGAAGGGTACATTTGGTAGAATACGAGTTGGGGCAATCTCGATGAGTGTGTGTATTTAAAAGTAAAAGTGTTAAATGTAAGACTTCTAAACAATGCGGAAAACAAGCACACTGCAATTGGCGAACCAGCAAAAATATCTGCATTTTGAGTATGGTAAATTTTAGTATATAAGTAGCTACAAACTGCAGTCCAAATGGCACCGAAAAAGGTCTAAATAGGTAACATTCAAATTCCAACAAGAAAATATGGTTTTGTTGTCATTTCTTCCCACCTTCCACCATATATAAATACCTAACACCAAATGTGCCTTCATCCCAAATCATATTTCTCTCCAATCCATACATATATGGAAATAATAATAATAATAATAACAATTACTTAACTATTACCTTGAATTAGAAATTGAGTTCAAAGTTGTTGTATTGAAGTTCATCCCACTGTAAAATCTAAATTTCAACATCACTCTTTCCCGAGACTTTATTTATAATTATATAGCAATATAGAAGAGTCTAAAAATAATTAAATTATACATTTTTTATCACCAAACATCTCATTCTCATACACACCCCAAAGTAATTATCAAAGTGACGATTCTTAAAATCGTGTGGAATCCAATGAATCAAACTAAACCAATTCGATCTGAAGACTAGAATACATCATCCCTTATTAATAAATAAACCAAAAAAGGGGAAAAAAAAATGCATAAAAGTAACAGTTAATACAGTGAAACTAACAACAATTTTCAATACTTGAAGGTAGTACTGACCGCCCAATTTGGGAGTAATGCAGCCAATGTTGGCGTCAATCCACAGTAAAGCCCCTTCACACCTTCGTTCCGGAGTATATGCTGTAGGCTCACAAGAATAACACTGCCTAATTGCCACCAGGAGAATATGCAATATAAGATGCTTCACCAATGCATCGAGGTTACAATAAATTTAATCAATGGATAAAACACCATAATTGACACCAAGAAATTTACAATATAAGATGATTCAATCATGCATTGCCAGCGGGGGTGTAACTATAGGGGGTCAAGGGGGGGATTCTCCCCCCTCCCCTTCCCCCTCTCCCATTTGATTTGGTTATTTCCCACTTATTTTTTCAAAAATATGTATATATAGTTAAAAAAAAACAATAATTGGAGTGAACAAAAAAATGATATAAATATAAAGTGTGGAAATTTTTTTCTAACTAAAAATTGTACTATTTTAGTTCGTTATTTTGCAATGTTCTCAAAATACCGAAACTAAAAGAAAAAAATTGTATGAAAACAAATAGACATATATTCTTATATATTTATAAATAGATTGTATTCTTTTGTAAGTTTGAAAAGTTACTCCCTGTTCTATCAAATTCTCTCGTTCCGTTACTGATTGCGAGAATACAAAATTTAATCAAGACCATCTTCTAAGATTCAATGGATAAAACAATACAACAACAAGAACTGATTAATTTTCGGTTTTCAAGCATCTAGTTATGTAGATTGATCTAAACAGTAAACAGGAATCCATAAATTATAATCAATCCATATTATCAAGAATCAATGTTTTGGAGTTTTCGAACGATCTAGAAGTAAAACTGATATAATCAAACACCTTATCACCCCCTTAAACCTGTGATCTTAAACTTAAATTTTTTAGTCCAGCAAATCTGAACATCTCTCAAATAATTGAGCTAAACAAATATCTAAGCAACTGTAGCTACAAGTAGAACCATCCATTTCAGTCCTGTTAGATAATTCAAAAAATTAGGGTTGTCAGTGAATCTACCTGCACGACCAGAAGACTGCATTGCCGGCAAACCATAGACTTGAAGCCTCGTCTTGATCACATCCAATGGACAAACAAATGTAGCTGCAATTGCACCTGAGGAAAAAGCAATCGCATCATTTCCTCCGATTGAAGTTCAAAAAGCTAAACACAAATCAAATTTCCCCAAAATTATTTTTAAAAAAAATAAAATTAACAAATTACCCGCGGCTGCGCCGGCCGAGGCATCGCATACGATTTCCCTCGCGCTGCGGCGGTCTCCAGAATCGCCGCCGCCCATCCTAAGCAATTTATTTGCACCGATCCACCGGAGAGCGCACCGGAACGGTGAAATTCAATGGAGAAATTGCAAGATCGTCGATTTGCAAGTATATGTAGTCGATTATAACGCGGCAGGCACTGCAGTTGATTGGAAAGTTGTTGTGAATTTCTGACCAGGAGTAGTCAGTCAGTCAGTCAGTCTGGGAGTTGGAAGGGAATTCAAATCGCCATTGTTGGTGGGTCGTTGCGGTTCCAATCTTGCTTTGGAATGAGAATACTTTCTTTTTTTTTCGCGTCTGCTACTGCGAAGAGAATAAAGAAAACCCTATAGGACAAAATTCAAAATACTAGATATTAAAAAAATAAAAATAAAAAAAAAATAAATTATACTCTAGTACAATTTAATTTGTCTAGTCTTTCTATTCTTGTTACTCGCATGTACTATGTCCTTACTTTTTTATTATATACCCGTCAACCAACTATTGTCTTGTTTCTTTTTTAAACACAAATTTTATATTTTTATCTTTCGTTCATTTATTACTTTTAATCTATATCATAGAATTAAGGACAAATTTGTCAATTCACAACAAAAGAACAATCACCTAGAAAATCATGCAAATATATTTTAGAACAATAGAAATTGGACGGAGAAAATATAAATTTATAATTTATAATTTTTTATTTTTTAATTAAATTATTTAGACATTTTAATCTTAATTTATAATATACAATTTTTCAATTAGTTAGTAATTACCCAATACTAAGACTCTCTGCCTAAGGACTACAATATTTGTGATTCAAGACAAAAATTTTTAAAAGTGTGTTTGTTAAAGGAATTTTCTAAACTTTCACTATTAATCAATTTTTTAGTCAAATTAAATATTATTTTTTATATTATATCAAAAATTAATATTATATTTTAAAAATAATATCATATAATTATTTAAATTTTTAAAAATTAAATAATAACTCAACTTTGTGTTTTAAATATTGTGTTTGTTTGTTTATTATTTTGATTTTAAGAATTTATTATGTAAGATATAGAAATATTTTGGGTAATACAAAAATTATATTTTATATTAAACGTAAAAGAATAAAATATATAAATTAAAGATAGTGTTAAAAGATCTGGACAAACATATATATATATGTTTTATTTAAAAATTATATATATATATATATAATTGTCACGTACGAATTTTATAATTAGGGTGAAAGACCCAAGATAGGAGGGGATATGGGCCCGTCGTTGGGCTCGTCATATTGATTAAGGGGTTTTTTAGGGTAGTCGGTTGGACTAGACATTCTTCTAAGGAGATAAGCCGACTAGAGACGGTTGGTTGAGAAGATCGGGCACAGAGGTCGGACAAGACAAGGTCGGACACGGAGATCGGATAAGATAAGGTCGGGCACAGAGGTCGGACAAGATAAGGTCGGGCATAGAGGTCGGACAAGACAAGGTCGGACACGGAGATCGGATAAGATAAGGTCGGGCACAGAGGTCGGACAAGACAAGGTCGGACACGGAGGTCGGACAAGATAAGGTCGGGCACGGAGGTCGGACAAGATAAGGTCGGGTAAAGAAAGATAAGGACCAATACGGAAGTCGAGCGAAGAAAGATGAGATGGCAGACACGGAGGCCGAGCGAAGAAGGGTAAGACAGCCAATATGGTGGTCGCTCGGGTGGACAGTTGAGTAGTCGTTCGGGACTAGCCGTCCATTCAAAGAGGTAAGGTATTTAGAGGTGGTCGGCCGAGCTTGTTGATTGTTGTAATTGGCGCGAGCAGTTAGTGGTCGGTCAAAACACGTATCAACAGATGAAGAACTGGTAGGTGGTTGAGAGTAGTTTCTGTAACCGTTTAGGCTTTCTTTGACGAATATTTAAGGATTTGAGTCAACAACTGGCAGAAGATCTTCAATCTTCAATGGACATCAAATTCAAGTGAATTGCTTTTTGGGATCACCATTTACTTTCTCAATCTATAGTATTTAGTTTCATAATTTATTTATGTATCTATACAGTGTATAGAGATTCTTAATCTCAGGCATTTATTTTATCAAATTCGAAGATAATTTCTATTTTGAAATTTTACTTTTTATTGTTGAAAAATTGCATCAACAATAATAAAAAGAAAATATTTTTATAGGTTGGACTTTATATGTATATTTATAGAATAGATAATTCATTTAATTAGCACTATTTATTAAATTAGAATTTGTCAATATATCACAATCTTTTTTTTTTTTTAAAAAAAAGGAAATATATATATATATATATATATAGTAGAAGATATTATAGTGTGATTAAGTAATAATCAAACAAAAATTGAGCAATCTATCAACATATACAAATGGTGTTTGGCCATTAGGTACTAGTTTATTTAATTAGCTTAAAATTTATAAAATTAATGATAATTTATAAAAAAATAAAAAATAAAATAAAAATAGAAGATATTAAAATAATTACTAAATAATGAAACAAAGACATCATTACATAATTATTACAATTAGTTACTAGTTTATTTAATTGGCTTTAAATTTATAAAATTAATGATAATTTGTGAAAATATAAAATATATTAATATAATTACTAAATAATTAAACAAAAACATCATTAGATAATTATTACAATTATTTTTTAAGTTATGAAAAAGAAGAACAATATAGTAGAAGTCATCTAAAATAAAAGGTTAAATTGCACAAAATTCATCAATAATTTCATAAAATTGCGTCAAATTCTCGTACTTTTAAAATTGCATTAAATTCTTTCGTGATTTCATAAAATTTGCGTATAACCTTCTCAGCGGTCCTTACTTAACTGTATTTGACATAAATGCGCTCAAACTGCGAATAAATTTTAGAATTTTAATTTCTAAACCCCTAAAATTATAAATATATTTATATTTTATATATTTAACCTTAAAAAAAGTAAAAATAAACTCTTGAAACCTGAGAAAAAATAATTATTTCGAGTATATTTACTATATTTTGAGGTTAAATATAAAAAAAAAATGAATATATTTGTAATTTTAGGAGTTTACTGAGATTCTAAAATTTATTCGCAGTTTGGGCGTATTTATGTCAAATATTGTTAAACAAGGACTGCCGTAAGGGTTAAATACATCATTTATGAAATCACGAAAGAATTTGACGCAATTTTAAAAGTATAATACATGATTCGCACTTTTTTAGTCGGCCGGAAGTTTACCTAGAGCACCTTCAGGCACCGACTGCGTATTTTCACGTTATCAAAAAATAATAATAATAATAATAATAATAATAATTAATAAATAAATAAAATTTATAATACATCTTAAAATTATTTACTATCTCTTATTTGACCGAGTTCATGGAAGACAATCTTCCAACATTGTCGTGTTTGGAAGACAATCTTCCGACATTGTCGTGTTTGGAATTAACTTTGAGATCATCATATTCAATATAACTCTTTAATGATAAATAATATTTTTTTATATCATTTAAATTTATTCATTTTTTTTTCTTTTTTTTTTTATGTTATCTAAATTTATTTCAGTTTCTTTTTAATAAAAAATGCCATTTTTTTTCCATTTTTATTTTATCCTAAAAAAAAAAAAAATTCTATTTTTACCTATCATTTAAAAATCTGTATCCGATCAAATTAACACACAACTAGATAATAGAGAGAATAAAATACTAATAATTGAATATTTCACAATTTCCGTTTGGATTGCTTCCATGAAAATCAAATTGGCTTTGTTTTTTCTTTGAAGATCCGTCAAAAAATTCATCTTCGGGATAACATTTTCCTTGCCAAATATGCATACAACAATATTATTGTATAATAAAATAATTATTTCAAAAAGTTTTAACAATTAGCCAACACAATAATCTAAAGATTTTTTTTAAAAAAAAAAAAAAAAAACCCTTAAGGGTGTAAGATATTGTATAATTTAATTATTTTTATACTCTTCTATATTAATATATAAATATTAAATAAAGTATTTAGTGATGTTGCAGTTTAGATTTTATATGAACTTCAATACAAAAATTTTGAACCTATTTTAATTCAGAGTAATAGTCAAGTAATTATTATTATTACCATATATATATATATATAGGGACAAATTTGATTTGGGATGAAGACACATTTGGTTGTAATGTTTAGGGGTGAGCATTTGGATTTTTGGTTCAGATTTCGCCAAATTCGAACTGATCCGAAAATTCGAAATTTTTGAAAAAATCAATCCGAACCGAATCGAAATAATCGAAATCCGAACTAAAAAATTCGAACCAAATCGAAAATTCCGAAATTCTAAATATTTTTATTATTATTATTTCTTAAATTTCTTTTATATTTTATTGTTATTTTATAATATTAAATATATATAATATATAAAAATTAAATATATTAAAATATAATTAATAAATTTGAGTTTTTTATATTAAAATATAATATTTTCTAATAAAATATTAAATATGTATAATAAAAAAAATATATATTAAAATGTTATATTCCAGATTTCGAATTTGTTCAGATTTTAAGTATACCGGTCTTATCCGATCCGAAATACCAAAATTTGTTAAAAATTCAATCCGATCCAATTCGAGAATCCGAAAAATCCAAACCAAATTTTAAATTTTGGTTTGGTTCGGATTAGATTTTCAAATTTCGGATATTTTGCTCACCGCCAGTAATGTTTAGGGGTGGCAAATGGGGTCGGTCCGAATTTTTTCGTATCAGCCCACCCTATCTTATTATGATATGTGCTGGGCCGACATTGCCTGGTTCAGAATTGGGCTTACAAGTTAGGTCCAAGCATGGCCCAATATAAAATTGGGCCGTACCTAGCGGGGGCCGTTTTGATTTTTTTTTTAAAAAAAAAAATTAAATTAATGTTGACAATAAGATTTGAACTCACAGTCACATATATATATATATATATATATATATTGGTGAAATAACACATTTACCATCAAACTACAATTACTATAAAAAAATGTGAAAATGCGCCTAGAAGAAAACCTTGGAATCAATTCGAAGCTACTAAAAATAATATAAATAATATAAAATTATTTTTATTTAATTGTTTTGGAAATTTCGAAACTTATTTTTTATATAATATATATATAATATAATTAATTTAAAAGATACGAAGTCCGAGATCATTCCGTGACTATTGCTATAAGGTTCGAAATTTTCCAAATTAAGTATAAATTATTTTGAAATTTTCAAAATTTTATTATATATATTATTGTTTTAATAGAAAAACCTCGAAAATTTCTGAGTACATTTATTAGTTTCAGAATTTCTGAGACTTTATTATATATATATATTATTATTTTAATTAAAAAAGTTATCTCAAAATTTTTGAGATATTTATTGTATATTATTTATATTTAATTAATAAAATAGTTAATTAGCGATAGAACTAACATTTTAAAATAAATAATTCTTTTTTTTTTAAATAAATCCCATCATTTTATCTTCATCTTGAAAGTTCGACCTAAGGTAAAATATAATAAATTGATTGGAATAAATTATCATTCGAAGTGAGATCAATATGTAAATTTTTTTAAAAAAGAGCACATAACATAATTAAAATAAAAAATAAGGCCACAATCCATAAAAAAATTAAAAAATAAAAATGAAAATGGTCTTACAGTAAAAAAAAGAAAAATCAAATATTATTTTTTTAAAAAAGTTTAATTATTTTAATAAAAAATTATATATGTATTTGTGGTGGGACCCACACCTAAAAACAAAATGATCGCTAAAAATATATATTTATGTTAGATACTCTAATCGTCTCGTCACAATTGATACTATTTATATTTTTATATGTTTTGAAATAATTTTATATTTGGTAAAAATTATTAAATCAAAATATATTTAATAAATATAAATTAATTTAATTAACTACATAATGTATAACATCACATATGACGTAGGACCCACTCAAAATCCTTTTATTCCTATATCTTTCTTAAAAAAAATAAATATTTTTATCTATATTTAAAATTACACATTTTTTATAAAATTGATTTATGTTAATTATAAATAAACAAAAATATTTATTTATTTATTTGTATTATAGAAAATTTTATTATCTACAAAATGATATTCATATTGCATATATTTTTTAATTGCTATATAATTTTAAAATATTTAAACATATATTTTAATTTTTTTAATCATATAGTATTAAATTTATTTTAAAATTATAAATATTATTAATTATACAAAAATAAAAATATCACAATATCATAACTAATTAAATATTTTTACCTTAAATACCGCGTCCCTAATCAAAACGTTCAATTCAAGTGGGACGGATGGAGTATTTTGTTTGTGTTTATAGATATTTATTGTTTTTTAAATAGGATAATAATTATATATGGTATTTTTGTATGAGAACATTTACGGCGTGTTTTGAATTTTGAATTGAGATTTGAATAGTAAAAATTTTGAATTTGAATAGTTGTATGATGTGATATAAATAGGTGTTTGATGTGATATTTTTTGAATGTAAAATTGATTTTTAGTATTATATAAAAAATGAAAAACAGGTGTTTGATTTGATATTTTTGGGGGAAAAAAATTGGATGAATAGTATAAATTCATTCCAATCCCCCAAACAAACACACTTCTAAAAAATCGTGTAAATATACTTTAGGATAATAAAAATTAGACCGAGAGAGTATATATGCATTGTATCATTAATATTTTTTGGCCTGCGTCGTAGTGTATATAGTTAAGTAAGGGTGTGTTTGTTTGGGGGATTTAATAAGATTTCTACTATTCATCCAATTTTTTCCCCCCAAAAACATCAAATCAAACACCTATTTTTTTTTCATTTTTTATATTATACTAAAAATCAATTTTACATTCAAAACATCACATCAACATCTATTTATATCACATCATACAACTATTCAAATTCAAAATTTTTACTATTCAAATCCCAACTCAAAATCCAAACCCCAGACAAACACACCCTTGTAGTATTTTATTACAATCGCTCGTAGTCATATATGTAGTAGTATGATTTTAATGTAAAATTTGAACATCGTATGTTGTATCTTATTATTTTATTTTATTTTATTTTATGTCAATTACATTTATTTAGGATTTTTTACATTTATTTTGAATTTAATTTTTTAGCACTATTTATAAAAGAAATTCTCACTAAAATAAAAAATATTTTTACTCATATTTTAAATAAAAATAAATTATTTTATTTTTTAGAATATATTTATAAAATAATACTAATAAATATTATTTCATCTAAATAATACTCCCCCCGTCCCAAAACTACGGTCTTTTTTGAATTGGACACGAGATTTAAGAAATATTAATATTATATTGATAGTTGGTAAAAAAGTACGAATAAAAAATTTATTTGCCTTTATGAGTGTATTAGTGTAAAAAGTAGTGACATTGTGTAATAATAATGAAATTACAGAGATAATTTAACCGTGATATGAATATTTATGTAAACAAAACTATTATTTTGAGACGAATAAAAATGGTAAAAAAACCTATTGTATTAGGACGAGAGGAGTTATGGTTGTGTTTACTTAGAATTTTTATCGGTTTTTACTATATATAAAATTTTCACCCTAAAAATTTAAATTAATTTTTATTTTTTATATTATACCAAAATTTAATCTTGCAAACATAGAAGAAATAATATCAAACTAAATAACTACTTTAATTTAAAGTTTATTATTTAAAATTCAAACTAAAACCTCAAATTCTACAAATAAATATTATTTAAAATTTTCAATATTCACTTTGGCAGCCGTTACGAATTTTCACGATATAAAGAAAATAATTATTTAAAATTTGATAGTGTAAAAATAAATTCGTAATAACAAGCTAATAAGTTCAAACTTCTGGCAACAAAAAAATAAAATATTTCCCTCTATTCCTCGATTTTTCAAAAAAGACTTTACATATATTTTTTTTGTCTTTTTAAAAAAAAAATATATATATATTATTGTTATAATTTGTAACGAGATTACAGAAATATTATCTCATGGGTTAGTTTGTTACTCCATTTTATTTATTCATTTATTTATTTTATTTTCTTTTATAATTTTTGTCTTTTTACTTATATTATATTAAAAATAATTTATACGTAAGTATCACAATATCTTATTTTTTCAAAAACTATTTATAGTCTTTGTAATGATAAAATTATCAAAATGATTTTATATATTTTTATTAAAAATAAAATATTACTTATTACAATTTATTATATTTTAAAATATTATTATTTTATTTTATTTTATTTTGTTTCATATCAAAACACAAAACAAATCAGTTCTATATATTTTTATTTGTCTAAAAATATGTAATTTTCATTTTTACTAAATAATTATTAGACTTTTTAATACATATTATGGAGTACTTGTTTACAAATATTCGACCACTATTTGTGTATTTAATTTATTAATTTATATTTTAAAATATTTAATTTTATATCATGATTAATTATTATAAACCATTTTTTTTCTTAATTTATTTTATTAATGTTTTAAAATACTTATTTTATACTATTTCCACCATATTGTCCTATTTAATTTAAATATGAATTTTAAATACTGTGTAATTAGTAAGTAAGAAATATATTAATAAAAATAATTATGATTTAATAAAAATATTTATAAATTAAAATTAAATAACTAAATATTTTAATACATAAATATATTATTGTAGATACAAACAATTATGTAAAATATAATTAGTAAATAATTAAAAAGTGTATTATTAAAAATAATTATCATATAATAAAAATAATTATACATTAAAATTAAAATTAAAATTAAAAAATAATTTAATTAAAATAAAAAAATATAAAATATAATTAAAATATACAGTCATATTTATAAAAAGAAAATGTAAAATAAATTAAAATTAAAATTAAAATAAAAGACAAATAAAGTGAAAGCTAGAAAATATTACAATCAATAAATATACTAATAAAATTTATAAACAAATGAACTAATTATATTTGGGAAATGGTGCTCAGTATTTTGAGCTTGAAATAATACAAAGTTATATTCATCATAAATCCTTCAGTGAGACAGTCGTCTCTCTTCTTCTTCTCCGCTGCGACTCTCTCTCTCTCCCGCCCCTTCTTTCTCTCTCACACAGCTGCAATGGCGGCACCGCCCAGGTTACCCCCAAACCTCCTGACGGCGGCGCTGCTGTTCCAGTTCCTCTTCCTCCGCCACTCAGCTGCCGCATCTGCCCATCCCGACGCCGAGCCACTACTGATTTTCAAATCCACCGCCGACCCAAACGGCGTTGTTCTGCCCTCCTGGAACGCCTCCTCTGACCCATGCACATCCGGTTCCTGGGTCGGAGTCTCCTGCATTCACAACCGGGTCGCCCGTTTGGTCCTCGAGAACCTGGACCTCCGAGGTCCCTTCTCCGCCTCCCTCACTTCCCTCACAGAGCTACGGGTCCTCAGCCTCAAGCACAACGGGTTGTCGGGTCAACTTCCGGATCTCTCCAACCTCACAAACCTCAAGCTCCTCTTCGTCGCTCACAACCGCTTCTCCGGCGACTTCCCGCCGTCGCTCCCCTCGCTGTCGAAGCTCTACCGCCTCGATCTGTCGTACAACAATTTCTTCGGCCGGATTCCCCTCGCCGTTAACCGCCTCACGCATCTCCTTACCTTGAGCTTGGAGGAGAACTCGTTTTCCGGCCAGATTTCCGGCTTGAATCTCCCCAGCCTGCAGGAATTCAACGTGTCGGGAAACAATCAGCTATCAGGTGAAATTCCGGCGTCGCTTTCAGATTTCCCAGCGTCGTCGTTTTCAAACGCCCCCAATTTATGTGGTCCACCATTGGAAAAGTGCAAATCAGCTTCCTCCGACCCGACGCAGCCACCAGGCGGCGGAGGAGGCAGCGGAGGAGGAGGAGCAATGGCGTCGCCGGTGACGGGGAGCCAAACGCCGACCGTTTCATCGACTCCAACCGCAATCCCCTCGGAGACGAAACCGCCTACCAAATCACGAAACCGTCACCGGAGCAGAATCAGCTTAATAGCCATTACCGGAATAATAATCGGCGACGTAATTGTTCTAGGGTTTGTCTGTTTGCTCCTCTATTTCTACTTCTGGAAGAATCATTCCAACAAATCGACCTCCGGGAAGAGCATCGCGTCCCAATCGGAGAAGATAGTGTACTCCTCGAGCCCCTACCCAAACCCTAACCCTAACCCCGCCCAAGCCCGAGGCAAAATGGTGTTCTTCGACGGGGAGCGGCGGTTCGAGCTGGAGGATCTGCTGCGAGCGTCGGCGGAGATGCTGGGGAAAGGTGGATTCGGGACGGCGTACAAGGCGGTGCTGGACGACGGCAATGTGGTTGCTGTGAAGAGATTGAAGGAGCTGAATATGAGCGGCCATGGGAGGAGGGAGTTCGAGCAGCAAATGGAGATTCTGGGGAAGCTCCGGCACCCCAATTTGGTGGGGTTCAAGGCTTACTACTACGCCATGGATGAGAAGCTCTTGGTCCTTGACTACATGCCTAATGGCAGTTTGTTCTGGCTACTTCATGGTAAATCACATTTCACTTTTCAATCTACACTGTTCTTGTTTTTTTTTTTACCTCTGCTGATCTATTGAATCGTATAATTGTATGATTTGCATTATCGAGTTTGGACTTGTCTGGCAGTGATGGTGGGGCTGTTGTTTCAGGAACAAGAACAAAAAACTGTAGTGTGGAATTATTGGTTCTTGATGTAGGTTCATGTGCTGTCTGTGGTTGTAAATTGTAGTTTACTTGTGGGATTTCGATTTAGATTTAGAGTAGAGCCGCAAAAATGGGTTGAACCAGTTGGATTAGTATTTAACCGAAGGTTGGGTTAAGCGGCAAATTCTGCCAAACAGCAAGACTAATCTTGAATTTTATTAATTGTTCGAAATTGTTGAAAATTGGGGACCAAAATAGGTTTCGTTAATGTTGAGATATTTTAAACATTCAATTTTAGATTTAGTAGATCTAAGCTTAGATTTGATCTTATCAATATATTAGATTATTTAGATTTGAATGTATCGAGTGTGTTTTATATTGGCTATATACATGTCTCTTATTTTGATGATCAAATAATGCAAATTTTCAGTTTTCGTAGTTTATTTTTACAGTTAAAATGAAAGCTACTTGTGGTTTGTTGATTAGTTACTGCAGTAGTTTTTATGTAATATTCCGACGAATTCTGCTAACAGGGAACAGAGGGCCGGGAAGAACTCCACTAGACTGGACAACGAGGCTAAAGATTGCGGCCGGAGCAGCCCGGGGGTTGGCCTTCATTCACTCGTGCAAATCACGTAAGCTCGTGCACGGAAACGTAAAATCAACGAATGTTCTCATTGACAAATCTGGAGACGCCAAGCTCTCCGACTATGGACTCTCTATGTTCGCCCCCACTTCCTCGGGGGCACCAAAAAACAACGGCTACCGCGCCCCGGAAGCAGTTTTGGACAGCCGAAAACAGAATCAAAAGGCGGACGTGTACTCCTTTGGGGTTTTGTTACTTGAGTTGCTCACCGGAAAATGTCCGTCAGCGGTCGATGGTTGCGGTCTGAGCACGGGATGCGGCGGAGCCATTGATCTGCTGAGGTGGGTGCAGTCGGTGGTGAGGGAGGAGTGGACGGCCGAGGTGTTCGATTTGGAGCTTATGAGGTATGTTACATTTTGCAATTTCAGAATTTTAGCAAGTTGGTTTCGAACTTTAATTTACTTGTAAACGAGTCCTATTTTTTTTATTTTAACTATGGTGTGAGCGAGTCCAATTTTCAATTTTATATTTTTTGTGGGCGAGTCCAATTTCCGAGTCTTAACATTATTGTAAATGAGTTTTTGTTTTCGACTTTAACTCATTGAGACTAGAGCTGGCAATGGGTCGATTCGTATTTGGTTCATGTCGAATTGAATAGTTAAATCATTCAATCCTAACCCGTTTATTATCGTGTTGGGTTTGTGTTGACCCATCTATTACCGTGTCGGATTTATGTTGACCCGTGTTGACCCATAACATAATTAAGTCGAAATCCTTGATTCAAATTCAATTAGTTATGTTATAGTGTTAGGTTAGTTTTTGTTAGTTCCAGTGTGATTTGTATAATGAATTAGGTTGAATTATTTAAAATTGAACTTAGTTTAAATTAATTGGTTGGCTAATTATTAGTAATAAATATTTTACATATATAATAAATATTAATTAATATTAATGTATTATATTCGGGTTAGTAGTGTCGGATTCGAGTTGAGAGCCTCAACTCTAACATGACTATTTTATTATTATGTCGGGTTCGTGTCAACCCGTATACATAATCGAGTTGAAATCTTTGACTTAAACCCAATTATTTCGTATTGATTTATCGTGTTGTGTTAGTTTTTGCCAGCTTTAATTGAGAGCTTTGCTTCTAATTCTGACCCATTGGCTTATCTTCGAATTCTCTAACAAATTCAAGTTATTTTGCAGCATCACTTGAGTTTGAGTGAGATGTTGAGACATTTTAAATATATTTAGACGCCATTTAGATCAGGTCTATTTGATTATATACATTAAATTAGGTCGTTATTATTTGAGTTTATCAAATTCGTGTTACGTCTATTAAGGTACAAAGGCATCGAGGAGGAAATGGTGGGGCTGCTGCAGATAGCCATGGCGTGCACGCAGGCTGCGCCGGAGCAGCGGCCGAGGATCAACTGTGTGGTGAAAATGATCGACGAGCTACGGGGAGTGGAGGCGTCGCCGTCGCTGTCGCACGATGATCTCGTTTCGATCTCGGATTCGCCGTCGGTATCGGAGGATACTAATGGCTAGGTACTCTTTAATCCTGCTTTCGTTTGTTGGAGTAAAACATGCTCTGCATTTGGGATGTCCTTTTAGGGTAAAATGTGATCAAATTGCATCTGTGTTTTATGTGTTTTTTTTTTTTTGTGGATTAAATTCATTGGGAGCAATTTGTGTTCCATATATATCTTTATCTTATTCTCATGGAGCCTTTAGGTTTTGTTTGGTTGGATAATGTGTTTAAAGGAATTAGAATCTGCAAGAAAATATGAATGTTTTTTAGAGGGTAATATGGTAGTCTTCAAGGCAGAATGGTTTTATTTTATTATTATTATTATTATTATTATTATAACGTGGGAATCCGCAGTGCATGCTAAGAATTCGATTTCTTTCCATAAAATTAAATCAAACATGAGAATGTAGTGTAATTGTATTCCAATTCCCCCAAAATCCAAAGGATTACTTACTATGAACCAAACACACATTGTATCTTCTTCAAAACCAAAACAACTTAGGAGCAATTCTTAGCAAAGGTTGTAAAGTACTAGGATGAAACTTTCTTGCAAATAGGAAACACATTGAGTTCATCATCTCCCCATTGTACCTACAATTCCCCAATCTCCTAATCCCTTCTAACAACTCCTCTCTAACATCATTTTTTCCGTACATTCTCGGGTGCGACCCTCCGCCCGACCAATCCGTCCAAGTCACCGTCCTATTCGACGTAAGATTAGGACAAACTTTTGTCACCATTGTCGGAAAGTAGTGCTCGTCCATGTAACACGGAGGCAGGCAATAATTTCTGAATATCGGGTAGTATTTGGTGTCTGAGACCATTATTAGGGCTAATTCTCGGTTGGCTTCGAACCATTGGGACCCTTTACGCCAATCGACGAGCGTGATTGTTGGTCCCATTTTCCGATTGTATCGACCCCGTCCGATCGGCCGGGGGTCATCGAACGCGTTGAGGAAACTTTGGTTTGAGTTTATGAGATAGGCGTAGATCGTCGAGAAGTTGAATAAAGGAATGCACGTTTCTGATAAGAGGACGAACCTTTCGTTCCTAATGTCTAGGAGAGCGTTCGCTAGTAGCCGTCTCTCTGCGTCGACCATGCTCGATTTTCCCCATTGAACCGCCTGTAAGATTTGCGCATTCGTAATGCGAATTTATATTACAGAGTCGTAAAATAGGGTAACCTGTATATGGATACTCTAGTTTGCAAGTTACTATGCTCGAACATGAGTTTATCCAATGTGCACTCAAAGAGTAGCGGTTATATATTCTTATGTCGTTGAAAAAATGTCGATGCATAGAACTCTTTATACTCCTTCCGTTTCATAAGAAGATTTCTATTTTTCATTTATGTCCGTCTCAAAACATAAATATTATTTCTCAATTTAGTAATTATATTACTTATCTAATAATGTGTTTGGATCAGCTGTTGATTAGGTCAATTCAGCATGATTTGGTCAAATCAGCATATGTTAATAAGGTGATCAACAATATTTATGCATATCTCATATAATTATAATACAACATATATTATATTATAACTCAAAGCATATGTAATCTTATAAATATATGTTGATCCCTGTAGCATATGATGATCATATCAAATCAGCACCATTAGCCGAATCAACACATAATCTGCCAGTTCTTGTAATTTACCATATATTACACAAAAATATCATTATTTTTATATAACACAATACTAACAGGGGTATTTTTGTTCTTTTACTACAAATCAAAGTAATACTAATATTAAAAAATATACGTGCAAAAAGCAAATATTACTATTCTTATGTGACGGAGGGAGTATTGAATTATGTGCTTAATTTTTTCTAACATGAATGTAAATTACAACCAAAAATTTATTTTAGTACAAATTTAAAGAGTAGCAGCGGCAGATTTTTACGTCGTCATAACAAACATTAATGCATAAAGTTCTTATATTTGGATTATGTACATATTTTTTTCTAACAATAATATAGATTATGCCATAAAATTTACATACGATATTTTTACGCAATTTTCATGTCATGTTTACCTGACTAGGTATTCGACGCTTATAGAAAACCGACGAGTCGGGTGGTTCATCCTTAAACTCCGGCGAAGTATGTAAGTACAAGGAGAACAATTCTTCATTCCCCTTAAAGAAAATCTCCCAAAGTGGCGCCAACGGCAATCGGCCCCTAGTTAAGAACATAAACGCAATTTTTGGCGTTCGATCAAAAGGGTATTTTGGTAAAATTGGCACTATCGACGCCCTCCACATTAATTCTTCATCGCTCATCGCGTGCCACGCATTTTTAGGAGAAACCCAATCCTCGAAGGTTAGGACACCGGAATTTGAGTTATTACACTTTTGCGCGTAGACATTTTTTGGGGGCGATTCGGAGGGGGAAAATATCGGAGGAAATGCATTGAGAGTCGAGAAGTAGAGGTCTTCGAGAATAACAAATTTCTTGAAATGGTCGTGGACAACCATTCCTAGTATTAGGACAAGAAATGAGAGCGACAAACAAAAGACTATCGTCGTGGTTACTTGGATTTTACCTTCTTTGATTTCGCGACGTATTCGCAACGATAATTCTTTTACGAGCATGGTGTTTAGGGGAAGATAATGAGGTCTGAATTAAGATGTTCGATGTTTTAAGAATTTGGGATCATTTTATATTGAGGATAAAAACAAGAATCTCGTGTATGAGTACGAAGAAATTAAGGTTAGCCTTGGGGAAGTTTGAGGTGAAGTGTAGTGAAAAATGCATGTCTGAAAGCACTGGCCATGAGGACGATGGATTGATTAACAGAATTAATCCTCAATTTATGGATTTCAATGGCAAGCTGCATCATGTTATGTTGCTCAACATTTTTAGGGTTCAAACATACTTTTTTAAGGTGGTTTTTATTTTTTTTTTATTTTTTTATTCTCTTCGTCTCATAGCAAAGTATTTATTTTTCCATTTTAGTCCGTCAACTGTACTATCTACCTAACATTATAAATACTCTTATAATTTACAATATATTACACAAATGTCATTACCTTTATATCATATATATACTAATAAGGTTATTTTAGTCATTTCTACTTTATTCCTACTATATCACAATATAATACTAATATTTCTAAAATTACGTGCAAAAACTAAATGGATACTTACTTTTGAAATGGAGAGAGTATTTTATTTAAGTTGGAGTGAGTTTGAAATTTTGAGTTTATGATTAAAATAATAGTCTATTCATCTTGAAATAGACGACTCATTTGTTTCGAATACAATTATTTAGGTAGTGTATACTAGAAAATTATTAATGATAAATTATAATATTATCTACGTCTATCTCCAAGGGTCTTATTTACTTTTTCGTATTGATCTTTGAATATTAATTATTATATCAAAACCTAGTACAAAATAACAAAAAATTGCATAAATATTTTTATTAATGTCTTATAATACTAATAGAATATCATTTTTACAAAAAAATATACAAATATAAGGATATTTTTAATGTTAAGTATAATGACGCAAAATATAAATGTGACATTTAGAGACGGACGGTTTATTATTTTTTTTATATGAGTATTGTGGTTGGTATATTTAAATATATGAATTAATATATTTATATGGTTAAAAAGAATTTAGAATATATATTTCAATTTTTTAGCATTATAATTTTATATAATATAAATAAATAAATAAAATGTATATATATATTAATTTATAATTAATTTTAAGTAGTTTTATAAAAAAAACAGTGAACTTTTAATGTAGATAAAAAAAAAAAAAAGTATTTATTTATTGAATAAAAATAGAAATTAAAGGGGTTTTATATAAATAACAAAACAAAAGAAAATAAAAAATCGAAGAATGTAAAATTCAAATAATATAAAAGTGCATAAGGAAAAATATAAAACATAACAAAAATGTTGTAAATTCACCAAAATTGCAAGTTGAAAAGAAACTGCTTCAAACAAAATACTACCTATTAAATTAAATAATTACTTCATTAAAAATCAAGTAAGTGTGTTTGTTTAGAGGTTTTGATTTGAATTTTTTATTTGAATAGTTGAATTTAAATATTTATTTGACGTGATATAAATATAAATTGATTTAATATTTTGAATGCAAAAATAATATTTAATGTGATATAAAAATATATATATTTAATTTAATAATTTTTTTTAAAAAAATTATGAATAATAAAAATTAAATAAAATAACTAAAAAAAACATGAAATCACAAATACAAATACAAATACAAAAGTAAACACATATTGAAACAAACTCTTGATTTTTCAAAAATAAAAATAATAATTATTATTATATATTCTCTCATATAAAACGTTATATGTTTAATTTCCTTTTTAACCTGTCATAAAAAAAAAAAAAAAAAAAAAATGTGTTTTTATTGGTAAAAAATTATACTTTCTTCTTTTAATCCAAAGTAGTAAGTTTAAAAATAATAATATTTTTTATTAGTTAATAAAAATGTATAAAATAATTTTGATATTTTTATTTTTTAAGTTTATATATAAATTAATTATATATAATAATATGTGTGTAATTTATGTAAAAATTAAAGAGTATTTAGTATTAATGTATAGTTATTTTTTTACTAAAATAAAAAATATATATTTTTGAGTGAGAAATACAAAATTAGTAAAAAAAATACTTGAGACGATGAGAATAAATTTTTTCTAGTTTTATACTTTTTTTTTTCTATTTTTCATTATAAAAATATAAAGTAACAAAAGTACCCTCTATATTAACATGGGAAAAAATTTTATTTTTTCATGATAGAAAAAAATAAAATTTTTATATTTGATATAATAAATATTTTTGATAAAAAAAAAAAGAAAAAAAAGAAGCAAATAAACAAACTATTAAGATAGAACGTGCTTCAATATTTATAATTTTTACAATATTAAATGATTGTTCTTTTATTATTTCAAAATTAAATTAATATTATTTATCTAATATAATATTTAATCATATAGTTTATTATTTCGCTGGGTTTTTATGGGTCTCATTGAACCCATGTGATGGTATACAATATTGGGTTATTAGGTTTTGGAGTTATTATTAGGTTGAGTCTGTTTGATGTATTTTTTTATTTAAATAAATTTTAAGATATAAAATTTGCAATCAGTACCGTTCTTAATAAAATTGTTCTATGTTTTTTCCCGTAGTTATAGTCAATACGTTGTTGATGAAACACGTAAATATGTGTTTTCTTTACGTTTTTCTTGTTATTCGATTACTAATCCTAATTCTAATCCTAATCTGTCACAACAAATAAAAATATATTATTTACTTTCATTAAATATTATACTCTCTCCGTCCCTTATCTATCTATTTGTTTACTCTCTGTACAAAATTTTAAAAATATTAATATTATATTAGGGGTGTAGTATGAATGAAGTAGAAAACATTAAAATAACCTTATTGTGTGATATAAAAGGTAATGGTATTTGTGTAATATATTGTAATTTGTAAGAGTATTTTTAATATTAGTAGAAAATACAGCTATATGAAAAAAAAAAAATGAATACTTTATTAAATAATTAAAGAACGGGGAAAGTATCAAAATATTATTTAAATAAAAATTTAAACCAACAATATATTTTAAATCACAACCTAAAATCGAAATGTTATATCTCAACCAAATAAAATTGCATTTATTACCCAGCTCAGTATTGATTGGAGTTGATCAGTACTGTGTTGAATAGCCATAATCAATATATAATATATAAAGTATTGGATTAAAATTTCAATTGACGGTTACATGTAAATTGTTTAAACTATCATAATATATCTAAACTATAATTTATTAAATTTATTGAGTTTAAAATACATTTAATAAATACAGATACATGTCTTATATGTGCAGAAATTCGATAAATTATTAATTGGATTATGAAACTAACTAATAATAAACTATATTATATTAGAATTGCGATTCTAAGTTTAGACATGACCACATTACTTTTTCATATTTCATCGTACAAAATGACAACAAGATATTAGGATTTTTCCAAAAATAATTGCGTTATAAGTTTTAAAAACACAATACTATCAATTTTTTTTTTTTTTTTTTTTTTTCAATCAATTATTTCAGTATGATAGGTCTTGAGCTTTAAGTTTAATTTATGATAAGTTCCAACACGCAACACATAATTTAGATAAAAACAACATATATTGTGTCAGATAATATTACGCATTGTGATATGTTAATAGTATTTAAATTCCGATGAGATGTACTGTTTGTTACGTGTCGTTACCATATATATTATAAATAATATGCACTTTTGTACAGAAATCAATTATGATATACTCCCTCCATCCCTTAACAATTTATTCATTTTTCTATTTTGGTCCGTCCAATAACAAAGTATCCATTTCTTTTTTTTTTTTTTTTTTAGTAATTGTATCATCTACCTAACATTACAGATACCTTTCCAATTTACAATATATTACACAAATGTCATTACTTTTATATTATACAATACTAATAGGGGTAATTTAGTCTTTTTACCTTTATTTTTACTTTATCTCAATATAATATTAATATTTTTAAAACTCTGTGCAAAAAATAAATAGATATATAGATATGGGACGGAGGGAGTATAATGTTTATAATTTTACAATGTATTGTAAGTAGGATGATTATGCATCCATATAGTTGTATTGTGGATGCCTTATTACTTATCACCCTATCCTAAGTCTACCATTTTGGGACACATCATTGAATGTGAATATGGTGTCCAACTCAACTTCCATTTTTCTTTTTCTTTTTTCTTATTTTTTTTCTTTTTTTTTTTGTATTTTATTTTTTTTTTAAAAAAATTAATTCTAATTTCTTTGGCTTGGTTGTTTTTCAGTCACCATTGATTGATTTTGTGATAGCCCCCATTTTACCAACATATATATATATATATACACTCAAACATCACAAGGTGTAGTGGAAATCGAATTGGTCCACCCACCAACACGCCCGTGTCGTGCTGCTTTGGTCTGGTCTAATACGCAATTTACACAACAGCTTTTTTATTGGCAAAACCTAGAGCTGACAATGGGTCGATTCGTATTGGATTGAAAACTTTAAACGGGTTAAATTATTCAACCCTAATTCAACTCATTTATTATCGTTTTGGGTTTGTGTTGATCCGTTTATTATCGTGTCGGATTCGGATTAACTCGTATTGACTCATATACATAATTAAGTCGAATTTTTTTATTCAAATTAAATAATATTTTGTTGTGTTGTCGTGTTATGTTAGTTTTTATTAGTTTGAGCGTAAATTAGGTTGAATTATTTAAAATTGAACTTAGTTTATATTAATTTATGAGAAAATTAATAAATTATGATTATTTTACATATATAATAAATATATTAATCAATATTAATATATTATAATGAGTTGTCGTATTGGGTTCGTGTCAACCTGTATACATAATCGGGTTAAAATATTTGACCCAAATCTAATTAT